CGATAAGTCATATAAATGTTAAAAAGACATAACGCTAAGACTAAACCTTGTGGGACACCTGCGTGAATAATCCTTTTATTTGAGAGAGTACCCCATAATTCTGCTTGAAAGTTCAACATTTCAGGTCTGACTTGAATAATTTGACCATTGCTATTAGTAAGTTGATTTTTAGAAGTTTGTACGGTGTTTGCAGGGAAGCAAAGATCATGAGCTGATTAAAAGAACTAAGTACCAAGTAATTATTTTATTTAACTATTTTTTCAAAATTCTGATATTTACTAGGCATACCATTGTAGCTACGATAGTTTTAAATCAGTAAAGAATAAAATTCTCTAATTTTGGATAGGTTATGAGGTAATATACACTCCAAGGGTAAAAAAACAACAGGAAGGAGTTATCTAAATAGAATGAAAATTGGTAGATGTGATGCACATGCACACACACACACACATAAAAAAAAAAAAAAAAAAAAAAAAAAAAAAAAAAAAAAAAAAAAAAAAAAAAAAAAAAAAAAAAAAAAAAAAAAAAAAAAAAATTTGAATCTCAAAAAAATTGGATGATTTATTCAAGAGAAAGAACTTCACAAAATGGGCAGTCAGTAACTTGCTACTGGGCAGGTCAGTAGCAAGGTAGTTAACCTCTTACCCTTATGCAAGCAGTTATTTGGTTTGACATTGATTGATAGAGTTGGCAGATGTCCTCCTGCAGGATATCAGGCCAAATTCTGTCAAATTAGCACATTAGGTCAGCAGAATCCCGAGCTAGTTGCACAGCCCTTCCCGTAATACTCCAAATGTTCTCTATGGGGAGATACAGGGCAACCTTGCTGGGCAAGGTAACATTGAACAAAGCATGAAGACAAGCAGTAGAAACTATCACCATGTGTTGGCGAGCATTATCTTGCTGAAAGGTAAGCACAGGATGGTGTGACATGCAGGGCAATATAACAGGGCATAGCATATTGTCTATATACCGCTGTGCTGCAAATGACAACCAAAGTGGTCCTGCTATTAAATGAAATGGCACCCCCAAGACCATCACTCCTAGTTGTTGGGCTGTATGGTGGGCAACTGCCAGATTGATATCTCACCGATGTCGGGACATCTCCAGATATATCTTTGCTGGTCATTAGGGCTCAGTTTGAAGGGGGCTGTAACGTGACCTTCGAGAGGGAGAAGGCCATGACACTTGATAAACATGGCGGAGCTTTCCGTCCGATGATATAGTCGGAAAGTCATCTGGATTTTAAAATTTTCGTTGGAAATATAACTTTATCATGTTGCTTAGTTAATTAAAATAGCTGAAAGAAAAGAGGCTTTATATACATACACACTTTTTAAGCTTTTTACAGATATTTTAATTAACTTTGTGCATAAATATGCACAAAATAGTGTGAAAGAACCGAAAAACAAACGAACATTTTACAAAAATTTAAACGCTGATTGAAAATTGCTACTGTCATGATAAATTGGGAAGATAATAATTAATATTTTATCTAGGCTCAAGTATTAATTTATTTGTGTTTTAGAGCAAAATATATAACCATCAACTTCTATATCTCCAGCATATGTAAATGAAATACTATATATAAATTAGCTAATAAATGTGATAAAAATATTTCATACAAAAAACATATCTAAATCTTATAACAAAAAAGACCTTCCAACATTTATATTTGAAATGAAATAACCTAAGACACAACATACACAACTGGCAATAAAAAAATAATAAAAAGCATATAAATGATAATCGTAATTCCCATTATCTTTAAATTTAGAAGCTAAAAATGTGTATATACATCTGCATATGTTTGAACGAAATAGTGCTAAGAAACATCTGCATTACTACTAAATATTGTAATTCATAATTATTGCATTTTTAATCATATAATATTTAAAAAAACATTAAATTTTACATTAAGTGCAAATTGCGACTCTGTTATTTTTCTCTTGGAATTTGTAGTATATCTCTTAGTATGAATACGAATGTTGCAAGCTATGTTTTTTAATTATTACATTTGAATATATTCCATTTTCATTGTTAATTTTTATGCTTGTGATAGCAATAAAATTCAAGATAAATGGGGAAAAAAACTTTTTGTTGTGTGCTATTTAATGAAGAGCAGATTTAAATGTGCATTTCTTGCTATTGTGTATATTATTCAAATCATTTCTGCGCAGTATCCAAAGGAATATTATTGATTTGAAAAAATGAATAAAATGGCCTTGAGAATCTGCCATTGTCTAAAACAAGTGTATATAAATATATTTACATATCGAAAGAAATGATGTTAAAAATGATCAGCATTGCTACTAATTATTGTACTTTTAACAGCTTGCTATTTAAAAAACAGTAAATGATTTTTTATTAATTGAAATAGTAATTCTGTTACGTTTTTCTGGTAACTTTCAAACGCTGCATAGTTTATGTGTTTTTTAAAATATTGCCACATACATTAAATATGTCTAATAACTAATAAAGTCAAAAGTCGTTAATCCGGACTCGTCGGGACTTCGGCAATTCCGGATTATCGATTTTTCCGGATTATAGATCATCAGTTTAAATCTGGTAAGATGGCATGCAGAAATTAAAAATATGAAACCATAATTTATGAAATAAAGAACAATTATGATCTAAAGGATATCAAAATTTACAAAAAAAAAAAAAAAAAAAGCTTAATATTTATTTGTTTACTTTATTAAACATTTCTTACAATGTAAGTTGTTTAAGTCGCTTCGTTTTTTTATGTGATAATACATTCTCTTTAATTCTATAAAGAGACATAATTTCTTGTTCAGTTACAAAGTTCCCCTGTTCAAGTCCTATAATTGCTGTGTCGAGAATACCGACTAATTTGTCAATCGAAATTTTTTCGTTTTCAATAACCTCTGTGTCATTTTCTTCACTATCGGAAGCGAATTATAATGACGAGGAACTTGATGTAAATCACATCAAAGACGGAGTACATCGAGATGAAATACTACATTTAGTAAGGAATTATAAGACAAATAAAATAAAAATATCTCCCCTGAAGATAAGGGATAGTGCTGACAGATCAACTTCCAATTCATTGCGTGCTGCGGCGTTCCCCCACCCCACACCGCCACATAAAGCAGCGTTGAAATTGATAAGGACATGCCTTTATCCATTTTTTTGGCAATTTCCACTTTTTGTTTAATAACTTCGAAATACTTTGCGCTCTTTGTAAGATCCTTTACAGATTAGTAAATATATATCAGAAATTCTATTTGACATAATCGAACGTTCAAGCTTACTTTTATAAAATTGCTCTAACAGTCTGCAAAAAATAATAAGCCAAATCCAATTTGAAGATTAAGGAACAACGCAATCTGCAACATTAACTGAATTAGATAATTTTAGCTTAGCTTATACCGTCCGTTATACATTAAACGCGCATTCGTAAACGTATTTTGCGCACACGCACACGCATATTCGCAGCTGTAAAGGTCTTACGCGCATGCGTCAACACGATGCATGCGCAGAAAGTTTGTAGCTTTGAGGTCTGGATTTATAGATCATTCCGGATTATGGGTGTCCGAATTAACGACTTTTGACTGTATAATGTTGTTTGTTAAGTTATCTCATTTCAAATATGAATGCTGGAAGGCTTTTTTGTTATAAGATTTAGGTATCTTTCTTGTATGATACCTAAATAATATAAAAGTAATATAATAAGTAAAATAAGTATATAATAAGTAAAATATAAAAGTAATATAATATAAGTAAAATATTTTTTATCACATTTATTAGTAATTTATATAGTATTTCATTTACATACATTGCAGATATAGAAGTTGGTGGTTATATATTTTGCTCTGAAATGCGAATAAATTAATACTTGAACCTAGGTAAAATATTAATTATTATTTTAAGAAACCCTTCCCAATTTGTCATGACAGTGGCAATTTTCAATCAGAGTTTAAATTTTTGTAAAATCTTCGTTTGTTCTTCGGTTCTTTCAGTTATATTTATGCACAAAGTTAATTAAAATATCTGTAAAAATCTTAAAAAGTGTGTATGTATATAAAGCCTCCTTTCTTTCAGCTATTTTAATTAACTAAGAAACATGATAAAGTTGTATTTCCGACGAAAATTTAAAAATCTAGATGACTTTCCGACAATAACATCGGACGGAAAGCTCCGCCATGTTTATTAAGTGTCATGGCCTTCTCCCTTTCGAAGGTCACGGCTGTACACTGAAGACAGTTCTACTCCATTTACTGATATTCCATTTGGAATGTGCCTAACACCACTGCAAGCGAACTTGTCGGTGTACAGAGGTCAATGGTAGTCAGCGCAAGGGTGCTGTAAACAGTCTTCTTCCTCTGAGCCACCTATTAATGGTCCTTGTAGTCACTGAAGCGCCATTTACACTTAGGATTGATGAGAATGATGAATCTGGGGCTCTGAATGCTGCTGTAACGATTGATCGGTCCTTATGTTGTGTTATATCTCTTAAGATGACCACTTTCTTCTTGATGCCGTGTTTGACCATGGTTCACCCATTCCTGCCGACATCATCTAAATAGTGGCATTGCTTCTATCCAAACGTCAAGCAATTCACTGATTAGACTAACCGGCTTCTTTCTGAGCCGAACTACATGTCCTCTTTCAAATGCTGAAATCTGTGCCTATTGTTCGAACATCTGTACGCAAGGCATAATTACTATTTATTTGAGTACATGGAATGAAATTTGCAAAGAATTTATGACCTGGAATCGAAATTTGTCCTCTTTAATATCCTACCATTTTGCAGTTAAGGTGCTCTGGAATGTCATATGTTCATTTGTGACCACCAAACTTAAAAATTTTGCATTTTTCATTGAAATCTGTATGCATATCAATTTGTGTCCAATTTGCATTAGTCCTTCTTGATATGTCTTTTGTTTTTGTTTTTGTTTTTTTGTTTTACAGTATTTTATAATGCATGTTTTGTAAGACATTTCATTGTTGTTATATTAATAATGCTTATGTTGCAGACTCCATATGAAAAAGCAAAGGCTTTCAAGGACAAGGGTAATAAACTTTTTAAGGAAGGTCAGTTTGATAAAGCAGTTGAATGCTACACAAGTGCCATTGAAATATGTCCATCAAAGCATTCAAATGATTTAGCCACATTTCATCAAAACAGAGCTGCTGCCTTTGAAAATTTAGTGAGTATTTTATGTGTTAATAGAACAGTTTAAAAATGTAAATTGTTTAAATGTGTATATAGTCTAAACACTTTTTATAAATTAGATAAAATAACAACCTCAGATTGACATATAATGTAATAAAATTTTATCGATTTCAAGGACAGTCTGATATAATTCCCTCTTGAGTAAAATTTTTCTTACAAAGGTAAGAGGAGCAATATCAAGATTTATAGGAAAATCAGTTTGCTGAAGAAGGAAAAAACAATTTAAAGTTTTGTAACCATCTATATTGCATAATATTTCATTCTAAAATTTAAAATAATGTGTATATTTTCATTCAGAAATTTAATTTTTGCTAATTTTTTTGCATTAAAATATGGATCTTTTAAGATGGTTTTCATAAGAGTCCTGTCCTTTCATGAAAGTAAAAGAGACAATCAAATTTAATGTGAATCGAGGCAATTTGCCTCAGAAAATTTCCTTTAAAACTATCCTTTTTGTTAGACAGATAGTACTTGTGGGCTTTGCTTAGTCAAACTTACAAATAACCCTAATTAATTAAAGAAATAAAAAGTTTGGAGCTAAAGAATTCAGGTTATTCTGTTATCAGGACCGGATTCGAATGTGTATTTATATGTGTATACATATGTATGCATACTTACATGAACACATACATACATACATACATTTCTGAACGCAGTCTCGATAAAAGAACAGTAACCAATTCAGAAATACTACATATTTGGATTTAAATTCTACATAATGAATAAGAACTTAGGTATTCACAATACGTATAAAAATTTAATATCTGATATCTGTATCTTAACTTAAATCTGTTTTCAAATAACAAAATGCCCCAAACATTGAGGTGACCATGTTAATTTGTTCTTTGATAATGAAATCATTCAGAACTTGAAACTCGTCCTGTGAAAATTTGAAAACATAACGTTGATTTTTGACTTTTAAATTAATACTAGAGATTCTGTTGTTGTTATGAATGAAATAGTGGAATTAGCAAAACAAACACGTTAAGACAGTGGAGTAGCGAGCATAACTGGCGCCCGGGGCAAAATACCTTTTTGCTCCCTCCCCCCAAAAAAACACAGTGATATGATGAAAATCTTGTTTGGAGACCATTTGGCGCCCCTTTGCGAGCGGCACCCGGGGCATCATACACCCCCCTCTTCGCTACGCCACTGTGTTAAGATGAAGTAAATGTGGAAGAAATTTTGCAAGAAGCAGCAGAGAGTCTTTCTAATGATGAGCTGGAGGAATTAGTGGATCAAGAACACAAAAATATTAAAAATAGCGATTCTAAAGAAGACAGAAAGAATTTTCAACAGCATGTCTAAAAACCAATTTAGCTTTCATAACAGAAATTATAGACTTATTTATTGAAAATGACGCAGATTTTGCTAGGAGATCAAGGGCAAGACCGGGTGTCATGGATGCCTTGTCCCCTTATCGACAACTTCCTACGAAGCATAAAAGAAAAATGCAAATGGCATTAGATACCTTTTTGATAAAAAACAGAAAATTGGAAGTGCAAAAAAATCTGAATGATCTAAAATATAATTGATAACTTTTATATTTTATCTATCTAAAATATAAATGCTGTTATTTATTTCTATATATTCATTTATTATGTTGCAATATTTGTACGAAATAAGTATTCATTTTGTATTGTTGTAAAAAACATATTGTAAAAAACATATAAACATGATCTTCAATAATAAAATACTTGAAAAAATTTTTGTATTTTGTACCTATTTTCCCCTAACTCCATTATTTACATGATGAGATGACCTTGTTTAATGCTATTTCATATAATGCTCTACTTTGATGGAATGTAAACCCTGTGTTAAGCAGTGTTTTACTCTAATTGTTTCAGTCTATTACTGTTTTGTTGCCCATATTTAAATGGCCATGTCTTGTCAATAACACATACTTTTTTTGACAGTAGTATCCCATAATTGTGAAAATAATCAACTACTGTCAAAAGTCTTCAATCTGGACTTGTCGGAACTTCGGTGATTCCGGATTGTCGGTTTTTCCGGATTATAGATCATCAGTTTAAATCTGGTAAGATGGCATGCAGAAATTATAAAATTAAAAATATGATACTGTAATTTATGAAATAAAGAGCAATTATGATCTAAAGGCTATCAAAATTTACAAAAAAAAAACTTAATATTTATATGTTTACTTTATTAAACATTTCTTTCAACGCGCGCATGCGTAAAGCATACATTACGCATAGTCGAAATTAGAAAAAATTGCAACCAGAAAAAAATTATTTGATGTGTATTCGTGATATTGTAATAATGACGAGGAAATTGATTTAAATTATATCGGAGTACATCGAGATGAAACACTACGTTTAGTGAGGAATTATAAGGCGAATAAAATAAAAACATCTGCCCTAAAGATGAGGTGCTGACAGATCAACTTCCAGTTCATTGTGTGCCGCTACGTCCCCTCTCCCGCGGAGCAGCGTGAAATTGATAAACATATTTCGGAATGGTTAGAGAAACAAATCACCTCTCTGTCACTTTCTTCATGCCTTTATCCACTTTTTGTTAGATCCTTTGGCAGCTCCAGAATTGGAAACTCTTTTTGACATAATCGAAAGTTCAAGCTTACTTTTTATAAAATTGCTCTAACAGTCTGCAAAAAATAATAAGCCGGATCAAATTCGAAGATTAAGGAACAACGCAATCTGCAACATTAATTGAAATAGATAATTTTAGCTTAGCTTATACTGTCCATTATACCTTAAATGCGCATGCGTAAACGTATTATGCGCGTGCGTAAAGGTATTATGCGTTTATGCATGCGCAGAAAGTTTGTAGCTTTGAGATCCAGATTAGAGATCATTCCAGATTATGGACGTCCGGATTAAAGACTTTTGACTGTACTTGCTGGTCCCAAATTTTAAATTTTTTAAAAACAGAATGAAAAAATAATTGGTGACAACAGCTAATTTATATCTTGTTCATAAAAGCAGAAGGTGGCTGAGTGAGAAATATTTGGTATTAACATCAAACAAACATGCAGATGTTGCTTTTCCTTATGTCACACTTATTCATAATTAGCACTAAATCATGCTCTTTGGTGACAGTTTCATGGTCAATGGGATAATGAATAAATACCCAAATACCATTCAGATTTCATGTACCCATAAAAAGTATATGAAATCTGAATTGTATAAATTGTATTTGGATTATAAGTTGACTTTTTATTTTGCAGAAAAATTTTCAAGCTGTAATAGATGATACAACAAAAGCTCTGGAATATAATAAATCCTACGTGAAAGCCTTATATAGAAGAGCAAAAGCCTATGAAGAACTTGGGGAGCTGCAGAAATGTTTAGAAGGTACAACATTTAAGAATTTTTTTATTGTTATGTGTATGTGAATATTTGTGTTCTTTCCACTTGAGGGTATTTTTTCTCAACTATATTTTGCATTTGTTGTGAGCATACAGGTTCGTAATAGGTTAGTGCAATATCACAGTGTCACACAGTAGTTATATTTTAAACTACTAAAACGTTAAATAGAACATACTTCAAAGCACAGAGAAAGCTAATCCGATCTCAAACCTGCAGCAGCTTAAATAAACAACTGCTCACTAAAACAACTGAGCTGAGATGTTTCTGTCCAGCTTCTATAAGCTTTTTAAATCAGTCGTGAGAAGCTTCTGGTAATTTCTCTTAGCAAAAGCAATTATGAGATATATATTTATTAAATGCGCATGCTCCTGTTTTATTACTTTTTCGGTGTCGCTTTCTCTTAAAACTCGTCACACACTGCATCTTAGGTGCTTATATGTGCTTATTTTTAACACTGCATGCACTGCATCTTAGGTGCTTATTTTTTTAACTAAAATGTGCCTACGAACCCTGTTATACTATTTACAATTATATAATCTACATACTATGGTCATAGTAAGGAGCTAACCTGTCGTAATGAACGACTTTAGGTTTAGAGTTCAATAACTTGCGGATCCGAACCATGACGTTGTTCAGCCTGTTTAGGACTGTATATGGATGATCCCAAAGTGACTGTAGTTTAGACTGTATTTTCCGTCGAGTCGGATTCCACAACCACACCTTGTCTCCTTTGCTGAATCGATGTCCAGTAGCTCTGGTGTCGTATCAGGTCTTTATCTTCTCCTTCGCAAAGTTTACTCGTTCTCGTGCAATGTTGTGCATCACTTCAAACCGGGGCTGGAGATCTTGAATGTATTTCTCCAGTGATGAAGACACATCCAGAAGGCCACAAAAAAAAAAAAAAAAAAAAAAAAAAAAAAAAAAAAAAAGAAAAAGAAAAAGAAACATCACAAGGCAGAGACGAAGGTGATGTCCAAAGAGCATAGTCTGCTGTTTCTCTTCCACCCTAGTATGATTTTGGCAGTTTTCTGAGCAGAGTCTTTCAGAGAAGACACTGGCGTTTTCAGGTGAAGATCCCTTCTGATGATGGATAGTTGTGTACTCTGATGCTAATAGGAGTTTGTTGCGTTTAAGTCCAAGAAAAAATTTTAAAAAGTCCAATCTGATTATGCAAGGATCTGTAATATCTGCAACATATGCCATGTGATAGTAGGCGGCACTTCCAAACACAATATTCATGTGTAAATTCCCCATTTGTGTCAATATTATCACCAGACACAGTCTGGAGGGTAACATAGGATGGCATCCAAATGAGTTTATCTTTAAACTGTTGAGCTAAATCTTTCTGAATGATGATAACATTAGCTTCTGTGTCAATTATTATATCGCAAGGAACTCCATTGATGAACAGCCCATTACTGTTGCCACTCATAGCAGAAATCTTGAGTTCTTTGAAATTGGGTTTCCTGCTCTCATTCAAACTCTACTCCACAATATGATCATTAAATTGTTTCCTGCATTGTCGTTGTTGGAAAATGGTCTTATTTTCCGTACCCTGAGATGTTCTGCAGTTCCTGCGCATGTGGCCTTCAGCTCCGCAGTTCCAGCACTTGTTACTTCTTTTTGCGTCTTGTTACTTCTTTTCTGTCTCATGGCAATTAATTGTCTGTTAAAATCATGTGTTTTATTTTCCGTGTTCATATGGTATTCTGCAATTCAGTCATATGTGACCTTCAGTACCAGATTTCCAACACTTTAGAGCCAGTTTGTTCTCACTCCTACTCCATATCAAAGCATTGACTTATTTGGATAAATCATCTAAATAATTGATCCACTGACTTGCGGACTTGCACAGCTCTGACTGGGTGGCGATCTCTACGAGTTGCTTGCTGGGCTGCCTTGAATATCATGGTGGACACTAAATCACTTTTTATGTTCTTGACACCCGCCATTCGCAGAGCTCTGTATATCAGGATCCCGAATGCCGTTGATGAAGTATTGCAGGGGCAGGGTTTCTCTTGTTTCTGTCAGTTGCTCCGAAAAGGTGAGGTACGATAGCCTTTCAACATCCGTGGCGAGCTCCTGGAGTGTTTCCATGGTCTTCTGTTGACAGGATTTTAATTGAAACCTGCTGTAGTCATTCAAACATTCCCCACCCCCAAAACGCACCTCTAATGCGCTAGGTAGAGATTCAAAATCTAGCCTTTGTTTTTCTGGGAGAGTTCTCTGATAGCATCAGCTTCTGTGTCAAGAGTGGAAAGATGCACTGTGTCTGCTCTCAGAGAAGCAGTGTCATGACAGGCCTTAGCTTGAGTATCCCATCCGTTCGCTTCTGCCACCATTGCAAATTGCATCTTATATACCGTAATTTCCGAAAGAAACGCCGCGGCGTTTACATGTTTAAAACTTAAATTTTCAGCGGGTGCGGCGTTTCTACCCATGCGGCATTTAGGTGCACTAAATAAAATATTTCCTATGATGATAAAATAAAATATTTCCTATGATGGTCATTGTACATAGTTTGGATGGCCTTGTCATTGTGCATAGACTGGTGCTGTTCCCACACAAAAGACCACTCAGTTGCTTTTTGCAAACATTATTTTGTTTACATTCTTTCCCTTGAACAGACCTACATGCCTTATTCACCCTAATCGAGATCTCAGAACAATAACATTCTTCTCCCTTTCAAATCAACATTTTTATCAGTTCGAATAGTCTCTCTCCTCTGCCATTCGATGAATCTTCCAGGACCCATCCTCTCCCACCGCTGCCTTTTCTACAATTTTTTTCAAAAGGCGGACACGACTCCACCTGCCTCGCAATAAATAACGAACTCTGACGTATTTCCCCTTCAGCATGAATGGATTTTTCTTGGCATTCTGCCAGATACAGATCCCATCAGTTTGGGTACAAGTACTTGTTGGATAGTTTTTAAGACTAGCGTCTACATCCCAAAACGGCAGCCTATGAGAGAGGCGATTCTATTATTTTCATCGGGGAGTAGGGGAGTTAGAATGGTTTTCTGAGGAATGCAACAGCAGTGGACTATATGTTTGCTTACATTTGGAAGTTCAAAAAATTGCTAAGGTGGATTGCCTTAGTTTCTACGGTTACTTACAGGGAAATATTAGGCAGTTTTTTCGGTTTGCTGATAGAGGGCAAATAGACAATTTACCTTTATAATCCGTGTTTATCTATTTAAACTTCAGAAGATTTAAGATGAAGAGAATATATTTAACGCAACAGAACGCAAGCTTAAGACTTGTAAATCTTTTAACCCCTTCGAGCCGGGTAGCGAAAACGCGCGCTTATCGCGGAGGCCGGCAATGTCTTTCGCGAGCGTCTCTCCAGGGCCGGGGGCTTTTTTGCTACTAAGCCTAAATCCATGAAATCTCCGAAGTATCAACGCATTGTTTAATAATGCTCTATAGAGTATTTAAACGGCTTATGCTTTATAGATATTTTATATATATACTTTAATTACCTTATTTCTTGTTTAAATGCATATTTTACACATTTTATTTTAATTACTCACCATTTTATGACTTTTAACATTATACATCTGAAAACTAAATATATTACTTAAAATTCTCTTTCGTATGAAAAATTTTAAAACAGGGATCTACACACAGTCCTACGTTACATTCCTTGAACTCGTAATAACTCATTTGCCGTTTTGGAGGATTTTTCCGGGAATGTGAACAAACGAAGCATCGTCGTCTCATTTTCTTATCAGTCTCTTCTGAACAAAGTTTTGGAAAATGTCTTTCAGTTAATCTTTCAGAATCAATATCAGAATATCAGAATTTCAGAATCAATATCTGAAATATTTTGCATCATTTCTGCTATTTCATGCTCTGTTAAACATTTTCGACGCTTCGACATTGAAACGGTAAAAACAGAAAGAATTCACGTCTAACAAGATCTAATTATTTTCTAAAAACTGAACTGTAAACCGAAATACTCAACGCTTTAGCGCATATAAAAACTTCTACTTACAATAAACAACTACCACGTGCGAATAAAGTGCGATTTAAAGAGACGTCATAAATCACGCCATTCGGAAACATTTAGTTCCCCGTTTGTTTATATAATCAAAAACACGTGTATGTGAGTCATGCTTCTCTCATTTCGAGTAGAAGGTCTAATGTACATGTATCTGAAACCATATGGACATACAGTGCCATCTTGTGGCAGAAATTATAGTTTGAAAAACGTTCCAAGGTACTGGCACAAATACGTGACAGTCGGTAGAAAACGCAACAATGCTCTGGCACGCCTGCAGGTCGGCCGGTAGATAAGTGTGTTCGTTGCTGGCACGTATACGTGACAGTCGCCACGAAGGGGTTAAAAAACAATACATCGATAATTAAAAATATTAAGTTTATAAAAACTTATATATGCTATTCAGGACTTAGGTGAGTTTTGATTATATGGCCCACGACGTGTCATGCGCATTTTAATCTATTGCGGCGTTTCTGTGTAATTTTAATTTTTTTCCTGCCATTTTTCTCGAGTGCGGCGTTTACGCTGATGCGACCTTTCTTCCAGAAATTACGGTACTTGCCAAGAGGTCTTTCTGTCATATGTGGAAGGGACGAGGAAGCATGGTTAAAACAATCAGAATTGTTTCCTACCATCGCTACAAATTTCTTCAAGGCATCAACTTTCTAGGCAACTAAAGAAACCCTGTCATCAATTTGTTGTTGAATGGCGCAAACTCTTCCTTCGATTTCTTCTTTGACAGAAGAAACTGTGTAACCTATTTGTTGTTCCATGGCCGAAACTCTTTCTTCTATTTGCTCTTTCACAGAAGAAGCTTTTTGTTCAATTTGTCCAACTTGATTCTGCCACCCTAGTATCTATTCTGCCTTCCATAGCCTCAGATTTGTTTTTTATTATCCAGGTAATTTCTCTTTTCATGTCTTCTTGACCTGCTTCAATCTTTTGTTTAACATGTCCTTGACCCGCATCCATCTCTGCTTTAACACATATTTGGCCTCTTTCATTTCTTCTTTAACTGCTCTCATGTCTGCTTTAACTGAATCTTTCATCTCTTCTTTAAATGCAGCAAAGACCGCCATGAATTGCCTTAATTGTTCTTCCATCACTCTTGTGACTGACATTCAAACCCTACTCCTGACACCAAAAAGTGTTGTGTGCATACGGGTTCTTAATAGATTGAAGGCACAAGTCTGCTGAAAAGTTAATAAAATTTATTCTTATCACAAGAGATAAAATGAAATGCTGATATTTTTCCTCAGAGATATTCGTACAATATCACACAGTAATTATATTTTAAACTACCAAAACATTAAAATACAATTCAAAGCACAGAGAAAGCTAATCCGATCTCAAAATTGCAGCAGCTGAGTAAACAACAACAGCTCACTAAAACAACTAAGCTGAGATGTTTCTGTCTGGCTTTTATAAGCTTTTTAAATCAGTCATGAGAAGCTTCTAGTAATTTCTATTCTCGAGGTTTCTGGAAAGCAAAAGCAATTATGAGATATCTATTTGTTAAATACGCATGCTCCTGTACTTTTTACTTTTTCGGCGTAGCTTTCTCTTAAAACTTCTCATGTGGTACATTGAACAGGAAAAATGAAACAATTTTAATTACAGTTCTACTAAAAATAGCAAATTAAATACAAAAACCATAACAGAAGAGCAAAAGCCTATGAAGAACTTAGGGAGCTGCAAAAATGTTTAGAAGGTACAACAATTTAAGAATTTTCTGTAATTTTTTTTATTGTTATATGCAATTGAATATTTTTGTTCTTTCCACTTAACGGTATTTTTTCTCAATTGTAATTATATTTTCCATTTAAGAAGAATTCTTTATTTTCAATCATTAGTATATTTTGTATTTAAATGTATGTTATATATCTCACATGTAAATGTGTTGAAGAAAACATTAAAAAATAATTGAGTGTTTATGTAGTTATGATATTGATAGTTAACTTTTTATGCTAGGTATAAAGTTATGATATTTTATGCTAGGTTATGTAGTTATGATATTGATAGTTAACTTTTTATGCTAGGTATGTATGAGTAAGTCTTTAATGTTGTAATTGTGGGTTTACATATAAATTCTTTTTGTTTGAAATTCCAGTCTATTAATGAGTAATTCCTAATTTTGCATCTCTCTGTGGTTTTAATGAATTAGATAAATGCAAGATTAGAAATTATTTACGTATCAAATAGTCAATATGATTTGATTTAAGATAATAATATTCTTCACAAGTTATTTTGGGATATATCACAAGGAAATAAGTATATTATTCCTTATAATTATCATATTTACTTGAAAAAAAGGCCTTCATGAGTATGAGACTCTTCTTACATTTTAGGATAAAATTTCATAAAAATTTAGATGAATATTGAAAGTATGGTTTTAATTAGGATGTAAGTAATAAAATACTTTTTTTTTTTTTTTTTGTTTTTTTGCTTTAGTATAGAAAGAAAAGTAGTAATCATCTGCATAATTGCTGAACTAGATGAGGCTATGGCCTCATCTAGTTCAGCAATTATGCAGTTTATATATATAATAATTATCGTGTGAATTATTCTATATCATACGCAGTGGCCGAATCTCCCAGTAGATCATAGAATCTTTCAGTTTTTTAATTTTTAGCCATTAGTGTTTTTCATCAATAAATGAAATTTAGTGGATTAATGAAACTTAAAATGTACAGATTTTACTCCCCTAACCTTAATGATGTTCAGCATAGATTGTCTTATTAAATTTTAGGCACTGTTCTGTTATTGGGGCTGGATTCAGGTATTATCAAAAGCTAAAAATTTGGTGAAAAATTCAATGCATAAAAATAGTCGCCGAAGTATTTACAATAAGATTAAGTTGAGGAAAAATTAGCGGGGGAAAATAATGTAACATATATTCATAAAATTAGAAATTTTTAATGTAAATTGAACCATTTGCCAATGAAATCTGAATAATTAAATAAAAGTTTGATTAGCACATTAAGACTAATACAGAGACATGAAAGTGTGGATATCATTAAAAATGTCAGAAAACATTTGTGTTTTTTAAAGCACTGCTGCTGCCTCACAATTAAATAAGAATCTATATTTCTATGGTCAGTGCTATATTGAAGTTTATTTTGCCATTTCACACTCCTCCATAACCTTTCAATTATCTGCATATGATAACCGGCATTATATTTAATGCAGATAAAATTCAAATCTGGCCTCTTTTTATTCTCCAGTATTATACGCTTCCCAACTTGAGTATATTACAGTGCCATCTATATTTTCTTCAATAACTAAGTTCTCGCAGAGCGATTAGGCATTATAGTGCCATTAATAATATTTTCTTCAATAGTTTAACTTCTGGCAGAGCAATCAGGCATTGTAATTAATAAACATATTGTACCAATATTGCTTTTTTAATGCAAAAACAGACTTTCGTCAACTTCAACAATATTACCAATGCCACTTATTTTAACTGACAGTCTAGACAATAATACATGGCCTCAGATTTCTCTGATATAACTGTTCTAATAAGCAACAGTGCAAGGATTCATATCAAATTGATGTGTGAAAAAATTCAATAAAAATTAATTCGAAACACCATGCATAAATGAAATGAATTGCTGTTAAGAAAGTGATTCTTTCAAACTAGTTTTGAGAATATAATGCTTTTTCTTTCTCCATCATATCTTCACTTCTCCATTTCGGTGTTTCCTTCGAACTCAAGTAGAGCTTCATTTTATGGTTTCTCATGCACTTTCTTTCAAAGTGGATAATTCCTCATTTGTGAAGAAGTTGTATGGAAGATGTTTCAGCATTAGGTAAGTCCCAGAATTTTCATATCCATGGTAAAGGCAATAATAATAAATATGCAAGTAACCATTGCATCTTAAGAATTTGTATTCCTGTTGCCAATTTTGAAAAGACATTCTTTTACTTTTTTTGAGAAAAAGTAAACTCTGTAGCGATTTTAAAAGTAAACATTGGCAGTTTCACATGAACATGTCTCTTGGTGAGTTTAGCAAAATATTTGGCAATGAGTCCAGTCCACTAAACAGAACAGTACCAAATTGTATTTGATCTGAATGGTCTTAAACTACTGTAGACATAGAATTTTATATAAAGATTAACTAATGTTTAATCACTAAGTATTTGTATTTAATTTTGTTTATTAATGTATAGAAGACTAAATTTATCTACATAGTGGTACATAAATTGGTAATCTTATTTTTATAATGTTTAAATATTCTTTCACAAGTTGAAGCCTTTCTTGCCTACTTGATATTTTCCTAATATAAAGTGTAATAAAATTAATACATGGAATTAGCTAAAGAGCATAAAATTTAAAATATAAATAAATATTAATGTATTTTATGTCAGTCATATTATAGAAGTTTAATAACTTGAATCATGAGTTACAGCAAATCTAGGTTGTTTTGGAGTTCTTTTGAAATGGTAGTGCCATGCAGCATGAATACCTCCTGGCTTTTGGCACAAGAAATCTCCAAGTTTTTTTATCTCAAGGTTGACAGCTAAGAAAGTATGGTAATTTAAACTCTCCTGTTATTTAACAATTTCTTTTATTAAAATACCAGATTTCAAAATATATCTGAAAAGAGTTGGTCTGATTTCAAGTAAATATGGTAGTTGTTTTTTAATAGTCTTTTTAATTTGATTCATAGCTGGAATCAACGTATTTTCATATTGCCTCAATTTCTAAATTAGCTATAATTATCTAAACATGAAATTTTCTTTGTCACGAAAATCATACAATTTTACTTTTTTTACTCTGAGGCAGTTTTCCTGTAAATGTTTTTATTTTGAGTCAAGCCTATAGTTCAAGTGTAGATTATAGCTTGAGTAATGTTTTAATCTTTCCTGTGCTGTGCTATGATGTTAGTAGTCAAAGAAACATTTAGTGTAAGCCATAAGATAAGATTCTGAACATATATATTTTTTTAAATTTTTTATTCTAGTATGCAAACGTTGAATAGATGTGTATTATTGTTTTTGAATATTAATGAAATGTTATGAATTTGTTTCATCTTTGGAATTGCTAGTGTTCTTTGTATTAATTCATATATCAGGTAGTTTTAAAATGAATTCACAAGAAAAAGTTTTTGGAACTATTTTGGGAATAGTATGTAATTATAGCATAAAAAGTAAATAAAAAGAATTGCTTTTTAAAAATATAGGTATAGTCTACTGTGAAAATTGTCATTAAATAAATAAAAATACTTGTCATCATCAACTGATAAAACTAAAACTTGACCAATAAGTATAATTAAAATTTAAAAAAAAAAAACGAATTTCATTTTTGAGTTTTCTGGCATTTGCTTCTGTATTTTTTAAAATATAAATTGGTATAAATGAGAAAGTACTAAAATATTTAAAAACACACTTTAACCATTTGAAAAAGGAAGATCTTAATTTGAATGCAGTCAAAATAAAAATATATGGAAAGCAGCAAGTTATATGGTACTATAGATTTTCATTATATTTAGTTTGGGATGCAGATGTTAGTATATGCAAGAATTAGTGTGAAAGATTTTGTAGTTAACATATTATAGGTTGTTAAAAATATAAAATGCAATATCTGTTATTGGATATTATTAAGAGGTATCCATATTATTATTTTTTTTTTGAATGATTTACTCTGCTTGTCCTGAAAAGCAAAACATTTTTATTATATGGATGATAAATGTAAAATCTTTTAAGATTTGTCATTTGGCAGTACAACCACATTCATCTGAGCAATTAATGTAAATATTTTGGAACATGTTGTGTGATGTTATTGTACTACCTAAAACAAGAATCCAAGCTAAATATCCTGCATTTGATTTCTATATTTTAATCTGTAATATTTGCTTTTTTTAGATGTAACTGCTGTTTGTATGTTGGATGGATTTCAGACAGAATCTTACTTAAAAATGACTGACAAAGTATTAAAGGAACTAAGCAAAATAGTAGCCAAGGAAACATTCAGTGTAAGCCGTAAGATAAGATTTTGAATATTGTTTTATTCCTAGCATGTAAACATTAAATAGATGTGTATTATTGTTTTTGAATATTAATGAAATGTTTAAGACACAATAACACGCCGAATAAATACTAATTCAGAATTCAAACAACAAAAATCAGCGTCATATTTACAAAATTAATTTACCTTCTCACAAACCTGTAATTTTAACTTCTCACAAACCTGTAAACCCTCGATTGCAAAGATTTTGGCTCCTATCGAAAAAGCTTTCAAGTTCAATAAAGTTTCAGATTCACAGAAAGAAATGATTAATCATCTTATCGCTCATAATGTGAAATTCAATAATAACCTTTGAAACCAAAATCTAACTGCGTGAGAAAGAGCTGCATTGCGTGAAATTCATTCTAACCCGGATATTATCATTTCAAAGGCCGACACAAGGTCGGCCAGATAGTCGTCGTCATGGATAAGAACACTTACATCGATGGTGTGTCACTAAACTCTTAAACGAAGGACCATATAATCTGATCCCTAAAGATCCTTCACCTTCGGAACTTGTCAAAAATAAAAAACTGCGATCAAATCTTCGCAAATCATTTCAGGCAATTTAAAACATTCAACTTATCCCATCTGTTGCGAATTGTGCCAGATTATATGCTCTTCCCAAAATTCATAAAAAGTGTATTCCTTTTCCGCCCTATTGTATCAAAATTTAGGTACTGCCTCGTACCCATTAGCTAATATTTAGTTTCTAGATTTTCAACTCTATTAGACAATAACATTTACACCATAAAAAATTCAATAGAGTTTGTAATAAAAGTTAAAAACATTTCTCCTAGTAATTTACTCATGGTTTCTTTTGATGTAAAATCATTATTCACCAATGTCCCAGTGGAGGGTTCATTAAGATGTCTGGAAACCAGACTTTGTGAATTTCATTTCTCTTGCATCGAAATTGATGAGCTAATTTCTCTCACTCAACTCTGTTTGAAACAAACACATTTTGTTTTTCAAAATAAATATTACAAGCAAACTGAGGGATTAGCCATGGGAAGTCCCATCCTGGTTGATATCTACATGCATTATTATGAATCAAAATTGTTTGAAACTTTAAACTTCCCGGCATGGTTCCGCTACGTAGACGATACTTTGTTTGAAGGTAATAAAGATGATTTAAATAAAGTTCTTTCAACAATGAATTCTATTGATCCTGCTATTCAGTTCACTTTTGAACTTGAGACTTGCAATTCTCTTCTGTTTCTTGACATTCTGGTCACACGAACACATCCAACTTCAGTACTACGGTTTTACCGTAAACCTTCATCGGTTTTTTTGCCTTCCACCACACTTTAAAAATCATGTCATCCAACTAAACAAAAGTTAGCTTCATTTTATTCCTATGTTTTCCGTGCTCTTCAAGTTTGCTCCTCCAAACTAGCCCTTGATGAAGAACTAAATTATTTAAAAGCAAAAGCTATTGACAGGGGCTTTCCCACCCAAACATTATTAATCAAGCAGTTAAAAAAATTCTCATCTCAACACACTAAAAGGCACACTCTTGTTTTTAGGAGATTATAAAAATTCTGTTGTCATTCCCTTCTTTCCATCAATTAGCTATAAAGTTGCACATATTTTGCAGAGAAATTTAACTTTCGGGTGTTTTATTCTCCCATCAATAAAATTCCGAGTTTCATACTCAGGACTCCATTCCGGATATGAATTCCTGGGGTATTTATAAGATTCCTTGTCAGTGTGGTTTAATTTACGTTGGCCAAACTAAGAGAGCCTTAAAATTTCCCCGTCAAGGAACATGAGGCATATGTTAGAAAAAAAAGGAAACACAGAAGTCTTCTGTTGCTCAACATTGTTGGTCCGAAAACCACACCTTCAATTTTTTCTGCTGCCAAAATTATTCAAAAACATCTTCCATTGGAGAACTGGATTTTCTAGAGGCATTTTCACATTCAATAAAAATCTTTCTGTTCTAGTTAACGATCCTAATTCCAATCCAAATTTGCCTTCGGCCTTTAAAGGAATTCTGTTTTAGTTCTGGTTTCACCAACAGATGGCACCACTTGCTTATTCTTGTCCAGGCTTTCTTATCTTATCTAATCATCATTTCCTATCTTGTTCATTTGCGGTTTTGCAGCTGAGGATGGTGGTTCGGTACCATCGAAACTAGTCCTGTGAAAATTTTGTAAATATAACGCTGATTTTTGTTGTTTGATTTCTGAATTAGTAATGAAATGTTTATTAATTTGTTTCATTTTTTGAATCATTAGTGTTCTTTATATTAAGACATGTATCGGACAGTTTTAAAATTTGTGTAATAACTTCAGTAACTTTGATACTTAACCCATTGAGGACCAGTGCACGGAAAACAAAGCTCAACAATGGGACCGAACTCCCCGAAATTGAATGTTGCCACCAGCCCATGCATTTTCAGCAGTAAAGCCTACTTTTACAAAAAATAAGCTCAACCACAGGACCGAACTCCCCGAAATGGAATGTCGCCACCAGCCCATGCATTTTCAGCAGTGAAGCCTACTTTTACAAAAAATTTCATATAAAATCAGCATTTTAATATAATGATCTCAATTTTTGAAGTTACATACTTAATATACTAATTCTTAATATCTAATAATATAAAGAATATCACATTAATAGAAATAAATGTGAAACATACGAAATACGAAAATTATACTAAAATAATATGCATGAAAATACTAAAATAATATGCATGAAAAAATACAATAAACATAGAAAGAAAATTACAAATATGAAATGTAAAAGAAAATTAAGCAATAATTATCTGTATGTAATTAAATTCCGATTTAATAATTCTGCTGTGCATGGAATAATTCAAAACAAGGATAAACACATAGGGCAATGATGGCTTTTTTTATCGAGCTGATGTCTTTCACCTTCTGTAATAATGCTGCAAATTTACTTTTTAATTAACCAAGAAAGTCTAGGTTAAATTTTAAAATAAATATAAAAAGGACAACTGGACTCTGAGTTTTTCCATCACAGAAGTTCGGCGATGTTACGCCTGATATAATCAGCTAGATGCATTTTCTCACATCTCCCAATTTAAAATAAAAACATAAATATAAACATTGAGCTGGATGCACTTGTCCACATTCTAATGAAGAAAAATGCAAAGAATAAAAATGAAGGCAAGATAAACAAAATTCCTAACAAAATAAACAAACATGCCAGTGTTCCTTTAACTTAAAGAGCTGTGTTTCCCAGTGTGTTTACACCAAAAAATCTATCAAAACCAGAAGCACAGAATAGAAACTGATGCTCATATATGAAGGTCAAAAGCCACGTGACTTAATCATTGTTTTTTTCATTTAGCACCATTGCCAGGCATTTAAAAATTAAAAAAAAAAAAAAATCATTCCATTTCCAAGTTATGTATACACGGCTCTGGGATGAAGAGATTGATCACAGCTCTTCATGTATATGCGGCACTGGGCTAGTAAGAGCGGAATCATTGCATCGTGCATGTGGAACATTGGTCCTGAACCGGTTAATATGTACTGGGACAGATACTGGGAACTGGAACAGATATTATATAGCGTACAGTTGGAAGCTTTAATGTGTAAATGTTGCATTCTCTTCAAGTCCTGTATGTTTTGGAGAAGGATGTAAAGGAATTATATTCCTGATACATGATCAAACATGCATTTATTGCTTTTATTACAGACACATTGCAGTTAATATTAGTTTATTCTTACTATTTTGTGTTCTGTAGATCTTCACAATGGATGCTAACTATTGTTGTCACTAATTCCATGACTGAATATATTTAAATATGAACCTCAAGTTATTTTGAGATATATATCTGCAAGCCTTCATGTGGATAGTTAAAGTAATTGGCATTAAAAATCAAGGGATTAATTAAAAAGAAAGTGGTTTGAATTTAAAACTCTAAAATTATGGTAGATGACAATATGGAAAGATCTTGGGAAGTATGCTCACTTATATATGGACATTCACAGTTTACTTCAGACTGAATTTAAACCAAAGTATATGTTTATTTTGAGCATTTTAGGAATATCTTTATATTTATAGTGCTGAATTATAATACTACACTGCAAATCATTGTATATTTCAGCAACTGTGTATGTGAAAACACTATTGAATTAGTCAGGTGTCATTAAATGAAGTAATGTTTCAATGTCTGTACAGTGCCTGAATTGATACAATAACTGAACTCTAGTAGTTTATTCTGAGTTAAGACTATACCAAACAGATGACTACATTTGCGTTTCCTAATGTGGTTATTGATGGTGTTCCTTTTGTGAAGCATGAGTTAATTTACTGTAGAAAACACATTAAAAAGTTATATTTTTCTTAGGTAGGTTACTCTTGTGTATTTTGCCATGATCAAGTAACTGACTTGATTGTCTGTGCATTTTAAAACTGATGCTAAAAATTCTTTTTTCTTTCTAACTGGCACATTTCTATAAACACAATATTGTTGTGTGTGTATGAGTTTGTAATAGGTAGCATGCACACAGCTCCAGTGATAGGCTGATAAGATTTATTTTATCGAAAGAAAAACTAAAAGTTCAGAGTTCCAGAACTTTCCATAGAAATAATTGTAGAGCTCTGCACTGTATCACAGAGTACAATCAGTAGTTACACTTCAAACTACTAGGAACGCTGAACAAAACAGAATGCAAAATGCATCTAAAAGGCAAAGTTCTCTAGAGTCACTCTGAGCTACACCTAGCCACTGAGATATTTCTAGTACTTTCTGCTTTTCAAAATTACCTGGAAGACATGTGAGGTTTGAATATGACTACAGAGCATCAATTTCAGTTATTCAATTACAATATCCATTACAGTTGTTATCAGACCAAAATGTTGCCAGAAGTCACCCAACTTGGTGACCATTTGGTGATTTCTCGCCAGAACCATTGCCAACTTGGCAATATCTCTCCAATTTAGTGAGAAAGCCATTTACTCAATGTTAAATCAACTTGCTCCTGCATTCTTTTCCAGCAAGCTTTTCTAGATTTTCATATTATATTACAGAAAAATATAAAAATTTCACCTATAATTGCACTATGTGCAAAATTCATCACAGTATTATGCATTTTGTACAGAGATTTACTAAACTCTTCTATAACTATGTATTGAGTGATAATAATTGATAAATGATTTTATTCTAATGATTGCATTATTGGTTGAAGGGATGTCTTTTCTGATTTTTTTTTTAATATAATGATTTCTTTTTGAGTTTTGAGAATGATTCTGTACAATTTATGGTATTTTGTGACTTTAAATAAAAACGTGTTTCCTTCATCAGTAGCGGGAATGATGAAAAAATTATTGTCCAGTTTATGGCTTATTGCAGTCGTTTAAAATTTCTTCCAAAATGATAGAATTTCTGTATTTGAAATTATGAAAATAGTGTAAATAGTATAATGGTTAATTGGGACCTAGAGCATGGAATTAGAATTTGAAAAAAAATGGTGACTTTTTAATGCAAAGAGATAAATATTATAATAGATTTTTTATGCAAATTTAAGTTCACTGTGCTGAATTTGAATTTGTATGAATTTCAGATTCTAGCTCAAAATCTGTTTTACTAGATGACCAGAAATAGCTCATTAGTTTACTTCACAGCTCATTAGTACACAGTACGTTAGTAAATACTTTTATTTAGATATATATTTTTATTAATATTGTCATGAATTTTATACATATGTAAATAATTTTAGTCAAATTGTATGTAAAAGTTTAGGATCTTTTTTATAATGTAACATGAAATGCCTCAATAGACGAATCTCAGCCAGGAAAGTAAGATTACAAGGGCAAGTCTTTAACACTGAGGTAAATGGGCATCTCACTAAATTGATGAGGGTTTTGTCACCAGATTTGATGAGAAAACACCAGAAATCTCCAACCTTGGCACCTGATTGGCGAGATTTCGGTCTGGTCCCTGTGTAACTGTAATTGGTACTGTAACTGACTCTTATATTGAGTTTAAACAAAAGTTTCCCACCCTCAAATATTGTCTATGCAAACAGTTCATGCTAGTGTGTTTAATCATATTTTGTCAAACGATTTTTAGTATTTAAAGAAGGAGACTTTCTCTAGAACACTGTGTTGTGAAAAAATATTATCATTAAGTACAAGGTGTCTGAAATGGATCTATCATGCTACCAGATCAGAACCATCATTTATTTTCAGTTCCGTTTGAAAAAAAAAAAAAAAAAAAAAAAAAAAAAAAAAGCTGCAGAATGTCACCAAATGATGTGTACAGTTTAGGTACTAATTTTGTATCGTAAATGAGTAAATGTTTGGTACCGAAAGTTTAAAACTAAGGACTAAGACATTCAAGAAGCAGAGTGGCCTACTCATGTTGATGAGGACCACCTGCGAGAACTTGTGGAAGAAGATCAATATGAAACTACTCGAGAGCTTGCTTAAGGAGTTACACATTAGTCCCATGCCCATTAGTCGTGCTATGTGTTACATAAACTTGATGTACAAGTTCAGTCACTGGTGGCCACATGAACTGACTTAAGCAGATAAGGACAGATGTGTTTTGGCCTACACTAATCTGCGTGAATATCAATGCAAGGACCAAATTCTGGACCGGATCATCACTTGTGATGAAAAGTGGATTTACTTCAACAATACAGGCTGAAAAGGGGGTTTGTCTGTATCCATTGTGTCCATCTACAGCTTTGCAAAGTGCAGTTTGACTAACAAAAAGATCATGCTTTTTATCTGGGGGATTGCTGTACAAAGAGTATCTGGAAAAAGGTAAAACCTTCGACAGTAAGGTGTACAGCGAGATGCTAGTCCATGTTGATACTGCTATCAAGGGAAAACGTCGAACTGAGTTCTGGCGCAAAAAGGTCATGTTCCATCAAGATAATGCAAGATCACATGTGTTTGCATTCACTGGTTGGACTTTGAACGGACTTGAATGAGATTTTTTGTCACACCCACCATATAGCTTCGGCATCGCTTCTTTGGACTTCTACCTTTTATTCACACCTGCGAGTACATCTTGATTCTGATGTCTTCCATTCTGAACAGGACATCCGGAATGATGTTGATCTGTTGTTGAACTCGTGGCTACCGAGTTTGAAAAGGCTTTGAAAGGCTTTGAAAAAGTACCAAAACCTTGGCAGAAAATCATAGATTCGGGTGGTGATTGCTACCTGCATTAAAGGTTTCTCTAACTTTAGTAAGAAAATTTTTTGGCGGAAAACTTTCATTACAACCAGATGTGTAATTTTAAATGTATATTCTTTCCGATAGTTTCAAGAAATGGAAATTACTCAAAATTCCTTTTCGGTGGTGGGGGGCGAAATTATATGAGATTCGACAGATCAGTTCTTATTTCAGAGCTGTGTTTGGAGTATTGGGAGCAAGCTTTGCATTGTGTGCTTTGCATTGTGATGTGTGTAATGTTCTCAGTAGTTTGAAATATAATTACTGATTGTGCTGTGTGATATTGAGCAGAGCTTGCATGTGTGCTATAGAGGAAAATTCCAGAATTCCAGATTTCATGTTTCTTTTGGGAAAATAAACTTATTGGTTTTGTGTGCATTCAATCCATTACAAACCTGAATATTATATTGCATTTGTCAGAGAAAATATTACATTATATTTAAATATTAATTTTTTTAAAAATTTCATTTCTATAATTAAATTGGTCTGTATAACCTGTTGCCTATTTTTAAGCATTTACGTTTGAAATGAAAAATTAAAAAAAAAATGAATAGTGAAAGGAGTTTTGACTTATTCATTCAATTTGCTTCCATTTATAAAATCATTTTGTATAAAACATTATAATATAACACATATTTAAAGAAAATTATGAAATAAAAAAAAATTAAAATTATGATATAACACATATTGCAGAAAAGGGAACCCCAACTTCCATCCAAACATTTTGCTCGCCATTATTTCATTTCGTTTAGTGAGGATCCTATAATGAAATCTGTTGAAGAATACAAGAAACAGAAGAAAGATCCTCAAGATTTAAGGTGAGGTTATATATATATATCTTTTCTAGCTGATAAAGCAAATTTTACTATATTTATCGTAGGTTTCTGTTGTGGCTATGAAAGTGTGTTTTATTAACATTTGTATTGTAGTGTTGAAAGTCATATCACAGGCATTGTTACCATGTGACCTTATATGTCTAGTAGCATCATCCCTATCTGCTAGGGGTAGCTAGTTGCAATTGGAGATTTGAACATTAATATTTATTCATGATATGTGTCGTCACCATGAGCAAAGGTTTATGTTCGTTATTGCTGTGTTAATCCTAGGTCCAATCTTGGGTCTTCTTGGGTTGTGACATGATGTCTTGAACATTCAAGTTGAAAGCATACATCAAGACAGCCATGTCTTTTGCTGATTTCAGTGTCATCATAAAGCTTTTCTGATGTATCTTTCTTTGGTAGCAGAAATTATTTAAAATATCAGCTCTGATAGCTAAAAGGCTATTATTAATTGATATCTAACTATAAGTTATCAAAATAATAATTAATTAACAAGTTTTTAACATTTTCCTTGCTTTAATTTTTATTTTTCCATATTTCACTGTAAAATGGAATTAAAAAAAAAAAAAAAATTATCAGGTATTCTCTGTTAGGTGTTTAATGCAGCAGTGTATTTCCAAAACCAAATTTTTCTGCTACAGAAAATGAGTCAAAAGCAAACAGTTGCATTATCAGTCTTCTTTATTTCAGATAATTATTTTTCCTTTGCACATATTGATAGCACTAATTGCTCTATTAATCAGTGTTGGTGATTAATATTGTGTTGATGTGCAAGCTGACAACTTGATGCCATGGTGTTTCTTTCATTTCCAGTGATCAAATTTATTAATTTTTTCCACAAATGATATTTATTATAGGAGTCTTATCCTGTATATTCCTTCATAAATTTCTAGGAAATATTGTTTATTTTTAAATAGAATAGGATGTTTTGCATAATAGAGAATTAACAAAGATAAGTTACTATGTGGGATCTCTCACAAGATGGTCAGATTTGATGATTATTGTTAGAGGTCTAAAGGCATAAAAGCCATTACATCTCTTCATACCTGTGGAACAGGATTTAAGTTATAGCCAATCAGAGAAGGTAAAGTTGTGCTTGCATAAATATGCAGTTGACTTGACGAAATCATTAACCAGATATGAGTTCACGTTTGCTTTGCTATGGTTGGCAGTTCTTAGACAAGTTTGCATAAAGTTGGATATTTAGAACATTGAGACAAAATCCTTGTACGTTGGTTTTATGACATAGCAGTGGCTGGTTGCCTAGCAACAGAGGTTTGGCTTATGATAATTGTGACCATAAAGTCTTTATCTGAATGCTGCCTAAGGTGTATGGATGTGATTGTTTTTATTTAGTAATGCCAACTTAGAAAATTTAAATCAAATTTTGGATTACAAATTATGGAATTTTTTATTAAAATGATTTAAAAATTTAAATCCAGTTTTTAATATTATAGAAAGTATTGTTTTTCTTTTAAAGAAAGATTTTGTCAAGAATTTTATTAAGTGCGATTTTTGTTAGGAAGGGCATTTACTCATATTAATCAAATGATTCAGTGAGAGCCAACTTCAGTACAGGAAATAAAGAACAATTATGATCTAAAGGGTATCAAAATTTACAAAACAAAAGAGCTTAATATTTATTTGTTTACTTTATTAAACATTTTTTTTAATGTAAGTTGTTTAAGTTGCTTTGTTTTATGTGATAATACTTTCTTTTTAATTTTATAAACAGATATTTTTCTTGTTCAGTTACAAAGTTTCCGCTGTTCAAAATCCTATAATTGCTGTGTCAGAATTACCGACTAATTTGTCAATCGAAAATTTTTTCGTTTTTCAATAACCTCTGTGTCACTTTCTTCACTATCGGATGCGGATTATTATATGACGAGAAATTTGATTTAAATCATATCAAGACGGAGTACCACCGAGATGAAATACTACATTTAGTAAGGAATTATAAGCCAAATAAAATAAAAACATCTGCCCTGAAGATAAAGATAGTTCTGACAGATCAACTTCCAATTCATTGTGCGCCGCGGCGTTCCCCCCTCTTCCCCCGGCCGCAGAGCAGCGTGCAGTTGATAAACAGATTTTGGAATGGTTTGACAAACAAAGGATCTGCATTTATCCATTTTTTGCAGCAATTCCACTTTTTGTTTGATGGACATCGAAACATACTTTCGCTTTGTAGATCCTTTGGAAGCTCCAGCATCGGAATTCTATTTGACATAATCGAAGTTCAAGCTTTACTTTTATAAAATTGCTTTAACAGTCTGCAAAAAGTAATAAGCCGGATCCAATTCAAAGATTAAGGAACAACGTGATCTGCAACATTAACTGAAATAAATAATTAAATATTTTTAGCTTATACCGTCCGTTATACATTAAACGCGCATGCGTAAATTTATTATGCGCACGCACACATGCATATGCGCAGCCGTAAAGGTCTTATGCGCATGCATCAACACGACGCATGCGCAGAAAGTTTGTACCTTTGAGGTCCGGTTTATAGATCATTTTGGATTATGGGTGTCCCAATTAACGACTTTTGACTGTACTAATAAACCGAAAATCATTCTGAAAACTGCATGTTATGCAAGGTTTTGTTCAGCCGTTAAGGTGTATAAATAGGAAACACAGATTTTTTTAAGTGCCATATCTTAAAAATATCTTTAATGTATTGTTTTTCAGTTAGATTATTGTAGAAACCTAATGTTACTGGGTGGGACTAATGTTACACATATTAAAAATTCAAAATTCAGATTTGTATGAAATGTTTATGCCCTAAAAATGTTGGTTAATTAGAATATTATAATCCACTGTGAACAAGAAAATCATGCAGATCAATTTCACCATAAGGCTGTTATGCATGTGCATAGTGCATATCAGCACTTCATAGTGTTAATGAAAACTTGAACATGCCCAGTTATCAGGAAGCCCATGATCAATAATAGTAATATTAGTTATTTTTACTTTACTTTGTCAGTTGCTGATGAAAATAATATTGTATATGAGCCATGAGCCACTGAAATAATGCATTCAAAATTCTCTTAGTTGTTTAAATTTAAATATGTTTTCCTTATGTGATAATATAATTGTTTTGTGACGAATGTGTAATTATCACAAAGAAAGCATTTTAGTAATTCATTTAATTGTACAAAAGTTACTTATATAGTGTACAAAAGTTACTTTTATAGTCACTTCAAACAAAGCTGCTGTAAGTTTACCTTGCTGCCATCTTATTAGACAAGAGCTTGATGTGTTCACTATGTTACTGTTCTTTTTTTCCCAAATTAATAAATCTTACAAATCTGATAAATTTATTATTTAATGTGGGATAAAAACTAATTATTGATTTGTTAAAGATTTCTCATGTGATGCAGTTTACTAAAGGTAAATTTTTCAGCTATATTTAGAATTGAAAATTAAAAAAATTTGTTAATAAGTCAATCAATTTTGATTTTTTGACTTGTTAGCATCATTATTTATAACTTTGCAGCTATATTATGTCTGAATTTCAAATTCTTAATCTCTCCCTCCATAAATTAATAATTTTCTTCAGCTATTAGATTTAATTAATGTTAAAGATAAAAGATTAGTTAAATGATGTCCTGTTTTGTCATTTTTATGTTTAGTTGCATATTATTCTTGCATACATACAAATTGTTTAAACTCATGGTGGATTTTGACTTTGCAGTGGATTTCGACTAGTCATTCATCATCTTGCAGAAGAAAATTTTGAAGAAATAATTCCCAATTGCAATGTGGAAATTGAACGTTGTGGTCCAGATGTACCAGAAGCTTACTTAGTGAGAGGTACATTCAGGCTGCTTCAGGGACAAATCCAAGATACCTTAGCAGATTTAAATCACTTGCTTTCCATGGAAAGTGTGGATGTAAAAGTTAGTTTTTAACATTATTTATTGGCTTTATTTTAATGACCATAACTTTTTTTTTTTAAGTGCATGTGGATGAATGATTTCGGTGGGCTTTCGTATGTTTTGCCTCATTATTAAGACAGTGTTTTTTCTGTAATCTCATACAGCTTAATTCTAAGCTAAATGCAGTCAAGCTACAATTGTGCTTAAAATTCTGTGTAAGACTGTTACTTTTTCTTTTTTTCCTCTCTCCCCCAACAAAGTAATCGCAGATTACATTATTTTTAGTTCTAATCCCTCAAGGTATTGAGGGAAGGATTATATGTGTTTGTACCTAATCTTTTGTCCAATCAAGAGAGAAGAGAAACATGCCAAAGTAAAACTTGCAATTTCTTTACTCCTGATTTAGAGAGATCTGTGTATATTTGCCCTCAAAACTGATAGTCTTAGTTAAAATATCTGCCAAACACAATGTAGTTGCTGTGCCTAATTCTAGGTTTTGTCCAATATTCTTGGTGAATAATAAGTAAGACATGTTGTTATATGGACAAAGTGCAGAGAGACAAGACATACAGTGACTATTTTGTGACACTTGCTCAATGAGGTTACATAGAATTTTCTATATAAGAGGCCATCTAAGCCATCCTCAGTTTGTTTGAAAATCTTTATAGTGCATAAGAATTAAAATGCCCATCTGAAAAACAAATCAGTCATATATAAATAGCTTAACATTTAAAAATATGTTAATGTTATTTATTTCAGTTGTGATGTTCAGCTGTTTTATGTATTTTAATAAAATATTGTGCATTTAATATTTGAGGAACTAAATGTGTTATTTTTCAAGGTCTATTAATTAATAAAATTTTTTGAAAAGTATAATCCAATATCTTCATAAAAATATAAATAATGTCCCAATTTTTCTGCGGACCATAAAAAAGTTTTCACGGACTACCAGTTGGCGACCGCTGACATAGACCAACAAAATGCTGTTCCTTTTGCTGCATTTGTCAGAATAGCTTTATAACCAATGTATTATGTTTTATCATTTTAGTCTTCTGATACTGAGGTACCAGAAGACTGTCACATTATTTCCAGGTCTGCATTCAAAACCACTACCATTATTTCACCTTGAACTTAGCTACTCTTGGATTCAAATTGTGGGGCTGCCCCTAAACTATAGTTATCTTCTAGTTTTATTTATTTGTATTCATGAATGTTATTTGGATAATAATAAATTACTATATAATTTCACACACATTGATTCTTGATTAAATAAATTGCATATGTATTTATGATATGCAAAAAGTTATGAAATGTATACTAAAATGCAAAAAAAATCACAGTTTCTAGACTGTTAGGCAATTAATGTACATATTATTAATTATTAAAAGATGAAATGAGAAAAAAGAATATATTTGTTTATTTTTGATATTATACTAAATTTTCTCTTTAGCAAATCTTTTAATTTTGTCACCAAAGGAAATATTAGTGACAAATCACATAATGTCAACAAAATTTCAAAATTCTTTAATTCCCCTTTAAACATTGTTGATTTTAAATATTTTTTCATTTAACATAAGCATTAAAAAAGATGATTCAGAAATACAGTTTGTAGTGGTGTACCTTTTAATATCCACATTACAATGTTAATCTTCAGTTATATGCCAGTAAAATCTTTTTTTCAGAAGTATCAATTTGCATGACTTGCTTACGGATATATTTACATTTTATCTCAATTTAAATGTTCCCATAAATGAGTATTGTCTTCAGTAAAACCGCTTTCAATATTTTCAATATAATTTTTCTAAAACTCTTTGTTAAAATTCTAATTTTTGAAGTTCTATGAAATTTCAAATTTATAGTATTCTGATTTATATGCCAGCCATTTTCAAATTGTCAAAGGCAAAGTTGTCACAAAGAAAGTCTCCAGTATTTATTATTCAAAATCATGCTCTTTCTTATTTAGATCAGATGGATGTTTTTACTTGTGCTGATTTTTTTTTTTTTTTTTAATTTAACTTATCTTTTATTTATCTATGTTACTGGCAAAGTATGAAATGCTGGCATTCTTTAGAATGTCTAAGCAGTATATATAATGCCAGACGATTTTAGGCAAAGTATGTAACACGATAATTATGACATACTTTACCTAGGCATTCTGTAGAATGATAAATGCTCTCTAGGCAAAATATGAAAAAAAAAGTTATGATAAGGCTATTATTTAAAAGATGTTCATTTGTCTAAAATACAAATATTATTTTGGAAAATTAATGAAAGAATGACATTAAAAAACTGTTCTTTGAAATATGTAAAAAAAGAGATAGGTGATCTTGATAAAACGTAATAAATTTGTTTTTTCTATCTGGCTGAGACTGGGAATCGGTAAGATCTACCTGAAAATAGAAGTTAAATTCAGAAACAATCATAAGTTTCACATCAGTGCCGTTTTTAATACTTTTTTTTTTTTTTTTTTTTTTTGACAGGGCTCACAAATGTGGTTGTTATAGTTCAATATCATTACGTGTAACGTTTTTGTTATTGGTTGAGAGTTCTTTCGACATTCTGTCACGCCAATCCTGTGCAGTACTCAAATGAGTTTTCATGAAATATTAAAAATAATTCAGCGTCCATGATGTAATACTGTAAAGCAGTAACTCTATCTTTAACAGGGTAAATGAATGCACTTTTGTTTTCTATAAACATCTCACTCTATCGATTCAGCGGCCAGTAGTCCCATGGTTCCTTCTTAGTTGTCATTTTTGCTTTTTTACGTCATTTACTAACTTCTGATAAGTAGTTTCGGATCTTTGAAACAAATCGAAAATGTATTTCATACTTTGCTGGTTTGTCATTTGGCATTCTATAGAATGCCTAGGAAATGTGTGAAATATGAATCGTTTCATGCATTGCTGGCTAGTTTTAGGCATTATATGCCGGATTTCATACTTTGCTGGTAATATCTATATCACTCAGTATCTTCATTTTGGTTTGAATTCACCAAAATTATTTCTTGTAAGAATAATCAATGAGAGCTTTTTTTTTATAATTTCATTGTTGTAGAGATATCCTCATCAGTATTATGTATTTTTCTACTTCTTTTATTTATTCAAAATATATTCCTAGAAAATTGCCTTTATATTTTCAAATGTTTTAAATGGTTCTGCAATCCTTTGTTCCTGAATCTTTTATTTTTTTAATAGCATCATTTTCAGTGTCTTGTAGAATGATTCTACAATTCTTTTACTTCATTCCTGGTTGTGCTTTTTTTAAAGCCATCATTTTCAATGTCTTTTAGAATAGTTCTACACCTTATATTTAGTTCCTGATTATGCTCTTTTTAATGCCATCATTTTATATTTCTTATAGAATATATTTATCTCTTTCTGTGATTATATTATGGATGATTAGAAGAGGTAAAAGAATTGTACAGTTTTTGTAACAGACTCAAATGTAATTGATAAAAAGAATGAATTATATTTTTGTATTTAAAAGCTTCTTGTTCCCTTTCTTGCTTTTCTTTGACTATTTTTTAATACTTCAAGTCATTTAAGCATTTTCTTCTGTTCTCCTATAAAAAATGCTCCTCCAGTAATAATAATAATAAAAAAAAAGTTCCCTCAAAATAAATGTTACTCTAATAAAGAAAATGTTGAAAACTTTTGTATAAAATAATTTTTTGGTGGCAATTTCTCCAATAGTAGATTATATACAAGGAAACCCGGATAAAAATGCAACAGTAGAAGAAATTAAATATAGAAGAATGTTGGATAGGATATATATTAAGAATGCATCTTAAGAGAAAACGGTACTTTTCTGTTAATGGGGTATCAGTTACCAAATGTGGTAGCTTATTTATATTGTGTAACAGCTGTGCAGTGATTATATATATAATGTTTAATGTGCCTAATGCCAAATTTGTTCAATTTTTCTAATTTTTTTTAAAAGTAAAAATAGATCATTGTGAAGGGAAAGAACAACAGCTTCATTCTTCTGATGTTCACAGCGATCGGTTTTCACTTAAAAATCGGAGAATTGCCTGAATTTGGCTTCATGCATGGCCTTGGCAGTGTTCACATAAAAGTTGCCTAAATTATATTCATTATATATAAAATAGTTATTCTCTTTATGAAGTATTTTATTGTTGATGCCATCTAGTTAGATTTCACATCAGCATTTCTGTTTGTTGCTAAGCGGCATTCCACTAACAGAAAAAAAAAGCGTAGCATTTGCGATGAAAATAAGGCAAGAGATAGAACAAAATTGGTTTAAAAAAATATCAGTAGCAGATATGTTTTATTATTGGTACTTTTTTATATAACTAAAAAATAATTCTATATAGTCATAACACTGTCAGATTTTTTTAAATTTTTATTTTTGTGTTTGTAGGTGAGAGTTAACTGCCTGATCAAAATTGGAACATTAAAAGTGCAAATGGAAAAAATGGATGAAGCCTTAGAAGATTTCAATAAAGCCATAGAATTAGATTTAAATAATGCTGATATATATCTGCACAGGGGGCAGGTTCATAATTTTCCTTATATCCATTTTTATGGAATATAATTTCTTTGTGACTGTAAATGTTGTTGTAATAGGTTACAGTTTTTACTAGCAGCAAAAAATGGAAAATTGTTCATTTGTTATTTATTAATTGCGTTGTGGAAATATTCTTCAGTTCTCTTTTAAAACTGACTAACAGTTGGGAAGAACTGTACAAAATTATTGAAAATTAAATGATTCACTTTAATTCTTCTTTTAATTCCAGACTTATTTTTAAATCTAGACTTATTTTTAAATTACTTTGTTTCATGACTAACTTCTCATTAACACAGTGCCTTTTTGTCTGCAGTAATTAGAGCTTCTTCTCTGATATTCAGTATATTTTTATTTTAATATTTAAACAATTAAAAAATACCGTAAATTTTTGGGAATTTTTGAGTTTTTGACTTAGTTATAATCAAATTACATGCTGTTATTTTTCTTTAACTTCTTTTCGTAAATTTAGATTATTTTTTCTAGCTAAATTTATGATATATTTATAATGCTTTTCTGATTATTCTGCTGATTAAAATTTTTGTAAAATCTCTGCCAAGAAAATTTTACAAGAGTTTTGTTATGATTTGAATCCAAGCAATTTCATAATTCATAAATCCCATGACATTCAGAAAAGTTAGAAGCAGTTATTCTGGCTAAGACAAAACATGTATTTCTTCCTTTTGCTCTTTTTTAAAAAATCAGTATTTGGCTGTATCCTTAAAACTTTTAGAGTTTTGTAATGCTATAACTTACGGAAAACTTCACTGAATATTTACTGAAGTTATAGAATACACAGAAATTCCTTTAATATCTATATAAAATGAGCTATCATTTAAAAATATTTAAATATATTGAAGCATTTCAATATATTTAAATATTGATGATTTTATATGATGTTAGTTGCAGTTCTGTGTGCTGTGTATATGTGGTGCAGTTTTTAATTTTAAAATGCTAATTTATTATTTAATATTTACTTAAAGAAATTAATTTTTTCTTCTGAGGAAATTAAAAGTTTTGTTCTTTTACATTAATATTATTTAAATGTACACACTATTGTTCATTTTTGCTTTTTGTGTGTTGAAAACTAATACAGTGGAATCTCTTATGTTATATTTACTAATATATGTTTGTTATTCATCATTTTTGGTATTAAATGAAATACTGCATAGTATATTTCTATACTATAATTTCCTAAACTATTTTTTTAGTACTTTACCCATTTTCAAATCACTCCTGATACAGCATTTCTTGCATGAATAATTTGGGAGACACAATTCAAAGCTAAATGCATGTTTATTGAAGAAGTGATTGGTCTGTATGTGATTGGAATTCCATATTTCTTATTTTTGAATTTGCAATTTTGGGAAATGTAAGCTTAATATCTTTCTCAAATTTTGTTTCACCATAAATATATTGTTCAAAGATTATATAAATTTAAAACTTTTGGGGTACATAAAATTTAAGAAAGAAGTTGAACTTCTTATTTAAGCAAACTTCTGGAAGTACAGTCGTTTTTTTTTTTTTTTTTTTTTTTTTTTTTTTGTCAAGCTCTATTTTACATGTTTGACCTATTCAGTACATTCTGAATCGTGGTCATATGCCAAATTGTAGAATGGCAGCACATAAACTGTGAATATAGGGAAAGCCACTGTGGGTATCAGGATCAACATTGAGCTCTGAATAACTAGAGTTAAACCTAGCCATCCTAAGTTTGCTTGATCTGCAATTTTGAAAATACTCTATAGTATTCACTGGAAGTATTGTATCGACATGTAGCAGCTTATCTGGAGATCTCTTAAGATGTAACTTGCTTCCATGGCGTCTGTATCAAAATTACATTTAATTATATGAATGATATTATGACACTGTATAGATAGATCATCCTTGAACATTGATAACTGAGATGCTGTTAAAACTGTGAATATTATTTATTCTTATTAAACTGAAATATATGTGAAATTTGTGTCATAAAATCTCAAGATCTTATTAGTAAACATTTTAAGGATGTTCTTTTTAGTAGTTGGTCAGTTTACCAAAAATTCTTTGTTATGTAAACCATTACTTTCTAGGTAACAGCTTATATCCACCACCTGTTCAGCTGCATACTTCAGTTTCTAATCTAATACTTAAAGGCTTAAGTGAAAAACTATTGTCTGCATCAAACTGTCTTGCTGATCGTATTGAATTTTTGAATAGTTTATGCATTTAATTGTTAGCAAAGCAAAATTTAAATGCGATAATTTTCAGAATTTATCTTCTTCCCCCCCCAAAAAAAGCAAATTAATGTAGCAATTATTTTTAAAAATGTTGAAAAACTGAAAAAGGTAAGTAACTTTGTGAAATAATATAGTGGAATGCAAATACATTTTTTAATAAATTTTTAAAATAATATTTTTTTTTGTTTTTGTTTTTTGCTTTTGAAGTAAAATTTAGAATTATTTGAAATAATGCCAGTTTTACTACATGGCAGTTTCCTGGATTTTTTAAAAGGGGCTGCAATCACTACTGCCATTGTTTGCATCATCTTCTATTTGGAGTAGAAATTGAGCAACACAGTAATGCAGTAGTGTTTTGCAATATGGCCTACAGCTGTGCATCCATATTATTAGTAGCACTGCATTTCTGAAAAAATTTAGTTTTTGTTTTATGTGGAAAATCCTTAAAAGTCATAAAAATCAGAACTTTAAACAGCGTAGAAGGTGGAATCAGAGGAAAGTCAGAGGAAGTATGATCTTTTTAAATAGTAAAAAGTTCATTATCTAAATAGTAACCACTAAACAAAAATTGCCTCTCTTAAAAAGAAAGCTAGTGAAAAATTACCATAACCTTTTTTTTTTTTTTTTTGCTGAATGCATTTTAACTAAATATGTACCATAACTATCTTCTTCACTTGTTAGTAAGTTTAGTAGTATACCACTAAACAAAAATTTGTACCATTTGTGTAAATTTTGTACAATGTTTTGTACCACTAAACAAAAATTGCCTCTCTTAAAAAGAAAGCTAGTGAAAAATTACCATAACCTTTTTTTTTTTTTTTTTTTGCTGAATGCATTTTAACTAAATATGTACCATAACTATCTTCTTCACTTGTTAGTAAGCGATCGCTTTATCATTTCTTTAGGAGTGTAACTTTGTGCTTCAAAAGTAAATAGTATAATTTATATTTTATTTATAAGTTGCCACATTGTTTTTATGTTATATTAAATTATGATATTAATTTAAGTTAAAGCTTTTAATCTATTATACTTCTTAGCTTCTTTATTTTATTTTGAAATAGCCCAGTATTTGTTATGAACTGTCATACATTTTTTAAAATTAAAAAATTTTCCAGATTTGATGCTTTTTTAAAAGGCAAACTTATTATTATTATTATTATTTTGGAGCCCCTTTTGCTGTCTTGGTAAAGCTACTGAATACTGGTAGTGTGACCCAGTTTCAAAACGAGGACTGGTTGACTTTGGTGGTTTTCCTCATATGTAGTGTGAATATGAGCTAGTTTTCTCCAACATACTTTTTTCTCTTCCCATAGGCATAGCCCTCATATGGTGTGCCATAATCAAATAAACAAACGTAATTTTTTTGAATAGTTTATGCATATTTTCTACCTATATTTTTTCATTTGCTTCATAATAATGGATAGGTTAGGTTACGTTATTTCAGTACAACAATTCAGTTAAAGTCTATCTATTTAAGAAGAGGGATACTTTTAGGGAGGGCTTTTTTGTGGGAAACTGGCTTGCACTGAAATTGCGTAAGGAGTCAAAAACCTTAAAAAGCCAATAACCCAGCTAACCCATTTGCCTGAGCTTAAACTGAAACAAACTATCAATATTCATTACTCTTCCACTGCACGGACACTGGTGGGACACAGTAACAAAAATATTTTTAGTTATTTCATTTTGTTTTGTTTTAAATACATATTTATTCATTTATCCTTACCTGATGTATCAAATTATTTAGTTATGTGTATATTTATACTTAACCTGCTAATTAGTTCATCATGTTAACCCATTAGCCGCTTAAAACTACAAGGAATAGTTTTTTTCTTCTACAAATAATACAGTACAAAGTCCGTAATCCATACTTTTCAGGAATTCGGCGATTCCGGAGTAATGGTTTTTCCGGATTATAGATCATCAATTTAAATGTGGTAAGATGGCATGCAGAAATTATACAATTAAAAATATGAAACCATAATTTATGAAATAAAGAGCAATTATAATCTAAAGGATATCAAAATTTACAAAAAAAAAAAAGGCTTAATATTTATTTGTTTACTTTATTAAACATTTCTTTCAGTGTAAGTTGTTTAAGTTGCTTCGTTTTTTGTGCTAAACGCGCATGCATAAAGCATGCAAAAAAAAAGTTTGTGGCTTTGAGGTCCGGATTGTAGATCATTCCGGATAATGGACATCCAGATTACAGACTTTGTACTGTAATAAGTATTTATAACATAAATTTACACTGAAAATAAAAAAAATAAAAAAATGCTCTGGCATATGCACAACATCAGCAGAATAAAAATATGGATGTTTAGTGAGCACGATTGTACTCGTATGAAGTATTCTTTGAATGGAGCACTGGATTACTTTTTTTGCTATGTAATGTTTTAAAAATCTCAGTTCTTTTTACTTGTAATTAATTCAATATTAAAATTGAGATTTATTTATTTTTTTTTTTTACAAATACACGTTATTTTCATTCGAAAGATTCAAGCATGAAAAGCTTCATGACAATCATGATGTAATGCCACATTACATATTTTTCATCTATAAGCAGTCTGGCAATGGCATTCTTTACAGCAAAGTTTTCTGTTATCCTCAGACTTTACGATAAAATGTCCACCATCTCCATGCAATGGCTTTTGAATGCTAAATTTACCAAGTTTTCCTATTGCTGATCTATTTCTGGTTAATTTTACACTGTCAGTAGAAGATTGCAACAGGAATAATGCAGTCTCTCATCTGAAATCTAAAAGAAACTTTTTATTTTCAGTAGTAGAAAGGTGTGGTATTTTCCATTCTTTGTCAAAGATGTAATTAGTAAATATTGGCCAACACCATTTTTGGCCATGAACTCTTATTCTATTATTGGTTACTAAATTGTCGCATGATCAACCCCTCCCAGTTTGCCATTGTATGCTTCAATAAGATGAGGCTGAGATACATAAACCTTTTTCCTTTGCCTTGAATAACGAAAAACACTTTTTACGGGCTGAATTTTTCCAAATTTTGAACCAACAGCTAGAACCGAATTGTCGTTCCATCGGACCAAAATTATTTTTTCCTTTCAGACTGGAAATCATGATAACCCCGATCTTCCTTACGGACTTATTTCACTGTTTCTAGTAGGCGTATTTGTATGTATTTTTCTTGAATTGTTCCTGTAGCACAAAAACCTTCATTTCTTTAGGTGACAAAGAAGACAAAATCATACCTGATGGTTTCTTTTTTCTTAAATCCATTTCAAGTTTTCTGTTTTTTAAATGTTTTTATATGATTAGCACTGTTTTAAGAAGGCTAAACTTCATACATGATCTTCAATATCCCCAGCAGTAACATTTGATCAAACATCATTTAGCATTTTCTTTCTTCATCACTAGCTTCTGCAATTTCTGGTGAAACAACAACAATATCAGTTTCATTCTGGCCATTGTCATCATCTGTTTCTTCATTAAAAAGTCCTTAAACATCTTCTAATGTAAGGTACCTTGTTCTAGGAATTTTTAAAGCATGGAATGAATATCAACCAGAATATCTAAAGGCATGACTAAAAAAGTGGAAAACTCTCTTTCCGCTAATCTTCCACTATCGCAACACCTATTTTTGATTCTATCCCTACACAAATATAAACAGCTGATTGATAAAATGTTCTGATAAGTGATCACCTTGGCTAAAAATAGATCACCCCTAAAGATGGCGATTCTTTCGTTAAATTTTTTAGGCAAAAATACCTGGTAAAAAATTTTGATTAAATTTTGCTTCAAGTATGAGGCTAATTATTATAAATAAAATTATTATTGAAAACAAATATTTTTTTTTACAGAAATAATCATAATATTCCCTACACAAAATCATATGCTAGTATAAAATTTGTTTAGTAATTGTATTTTTATATATATTTATTTTGACCATTATGTGAATGCAACAGTGACGGCTAATGGGTTAAACTGTTCAGATTGAAAAGTTCAGGCAATTAAAAAAAGGAGGGTAATTAAAAGCTAAAACCTATTGAGAACCCTGCTGAATGTTATTTTATTGCAAGTTGCAACATAGTTATTGGCATTAGTTTACTCATGCTAGTTTTCTGGGTTTTAGGTAAGTTTTGGTGATTGGGTTGACAATTTATGGAGGTATTTGTCCAGCTTTACCAGGAATTTAAATGAAGTTAAAATATATTTCTAGGTAAAAGTGATGTATATGAAAGCACTTCAAATCCTGAAAAATTGTATTTTAATTAAAGCAAAATTAATCTTTTTTTTTTTTTTTTTTTAAAAGCTTTTTAATTTTGTCTGTTGAAGGTTGAAAGTAAGAAATGTGATTTATTTACGTTGTATAAGTGATTTAAAAACAGAAACAGTTTTTTCCTTTATGCTCAGGTAGGATTTTTCTCACGTTTAAAATCTGAAAATATTTCAAAATTTTATGTCCTGTGTCAGTGGTTCCCAAAGCATTTCTTGTTCATGATGCTGTTACTGCATTAAAATTTTTAATGGCATCCAAAATCCGAACACAGGTTTGTCTAATGGCTGCAGCACATAGCTGATGCACTTTAGTTAAAATAAATGAAACAAATGTTTCAGAGATAATCTGAAAAAAACCTATTGAGAACCCTGCTGAATGTTATTTTATTGCAAGTTGCAACATAGTTATTGGCATTAGTTTACTCATGCTAGTTTTCTGGTGTTTTAGGTAAGTTTTGGTGATTGGGTTGACAATTTATAGAGGTATTGTCCAGCTTTACCAGGAATTTAAATGAAGTTAAAATATATTTCTAGGTGAAAGTGATGTATATGAAAGCACTTTAAATCCTGAAAAATTGTATTTTAATTAAAGCAAAAAAATTAACCTCTTTTTTTTAAAAAAAAAAAAAAAAAAAGCTTTTTAATTTTGTCTGTTGAAGGTTGAAAGTAAGAAATGTGATTTATTTACATTGTATAAGTGATTTTTATTGTAAATGTGATTTATTTACATTTAGTACTTTAATAATTTCTTTGTATTCCTTATTTTTTTTTTTCCTTTCCACCTCAATGTAAAATTGTAGATTAGAGTTTCTATTGTGTAACTGTTTTATTGAATGATTTTTATAATTTATTGTGCTAGATAAAGATGTGGTGTTATAACTGTAACTAAATAATGCTTGTTGACTTCAGGTATATCTCCTTATGGATAGGATTAGTGATGGCTTGAAGGATATGGAGAAAAGTTGCTCCTTAAATCCAAATTTTCCATCTGCTAGGGCACAGAAGTGTTATATTCAATACCGCTGTGGAATTCAATTTAATGATGAAAGCCAAAAAAAAGCTGCTTTAAAAGGGTTCGAAGAGATTGAAGCAAGTTTTCCCAAGTGTCCAGAAAGTTTTTTCCTTTATGCTCAGGTAGGATTTTTCTCACGTTTAAAATCTGAAAATATTTCAAAATTTTATGTCCTGTGTCAGTGGTTCCCAAAGCATTTCTTGTTCATGATGCTGTTACTGCATTAAAATTTTTAATGGCATCCAAAATCCGAACACAGGTTTGTCTAATGGCTGCAGCACATAGCTGATGCACTTTAGTTAAAATAAATGAAACAGATGGTTTCAGAGATAATCTGTGCACAAAGTAAATTTTTATTTTGAGTTGGCATGCCATTGAATAAAGGAATCACAATTAGTAAAAGGATTGAGTCTGTTTTTCATTGTAAAACATATGAAATTTTGATATCAAACTGGGCATAACTACCTCAATTCCTATTCTATTGATTCTGTTGATTTTTATCATTTCATCACCATTAACTTCCAAAAACAACTGCACAAACATGATGTCACACATTGAATATTCATCTTAAAATAATATCAGATACACAGTCAGTCTCTTTCTGTCAAATTTTATCATCAATGTAATGTTGCAAGACGCCGCCCAGACGGTATAGTGGTTAGGGAAGCCTGACAGCGATACCGAAGGGCCTGGGTTTGAATCCCGGAGAAGGCATGGTTGCAACTGTCTGTCCCTTCATAGGAAGCGATGGTGGCCCACCTATTAGGTGCTCCCATAATAAAGTAACAACCGCATCTGGTCGTGTGTATATTAATGGACTGTGTTACACTGTAACTGTTCACAATCTGTCTTTGGGCTGGAGATGTTGCAAGACAACTGAATAAGATTTCTGTTTACAGAGTAACATTTGGATAGAGTTCTGGTTGAAGGGTGTTGAATCCATGAAAACAGTTTTTCCATAATGTAGCCTTGAAAATAATTTTCAAATCAATTGATAAGCTGATAGGTGCTTTTCTAAAACATGGTCTTCTAAATATTGCTCCTGCCATAGCACTAACTTTCTGATGATCTGATGCTAAAAACCTCATGAATTAAGCAGCATTTTTATTAAAGTCTTAGAATAATTACATGGTGTTGTAATGCACATCTTGCAAACATTGTATTATGGTATGAAGCATAATACAATATAGAAGCTGTTAAGTTAGAATACAGCGCCACCTGTTGGATAAGCAGAGAAACTCTCACTTGGCCATCTGGATTCGGCTAAGCAACATGCCAGAGCATGTATTAGATCTGAAAGGTTAATTACTGTAAATAAATTAGTTCTTTTGCTATACAGTCCACTTATTAGTTTAGAATCATAGTACATGGTCCATCGAGCCGGAGAAGTGAACAAAATGCTGGCATTAGATAGAAACAAAACTTCGTTAAAAGCGAAACTAACTAGGTTAGAAAATGTAGTGGAGGAATATGATGATAGTTTGAATAAGAATGAAATTCAAATAAAGTATAGATCGCTACAAAGCATTCAAATGGATATTAGAAACTTTATTTTCTATTATTATTAGATTTCGAAAGTACAACTATACATTAGGAGCTGATGTTCAGAAGATGTACAGGCAAATACTTATTGAACCATCTCAACGAAACCTGCAGTTGATCTTGTGGAAGGAATCAGTTGGTAGTCCTGTGCAGACTTACCATCTAATGATTGTAACATACGGAACAGCAAGTGCACCATTCCTTGCAACAAGGGTCCTGAAGCAGTTAGCAATGGATGAAGCGACAGACTTTCCTCATGCCTCAAGAGCCATACTGAAGGACTGTTACGTGGACGAAATTATTACTGGAGCTAATACGATGCAAGGAGCCAAGGAGTTGCAGGCACAGTTAACCTGTCTTCTAGAACGTGGTGGAATGCAGTTACACAAATGGTGTTCAAACAATCCAGAACTATTGAAGAATAAAGAAAGTGCTACTCAGGATTACTCCTTTCAAGTTACGGATAAGCCTCAGATTACAAAAGCCTTAGGAATGTCATGGAATACGTCTACAGACTGTTTTTCTTACGATCTAAAGGTACCTGACTTTGAAGAAACAGGCACGAAAAGAGATGTCTTATCAACGATAGGTCGCCTGTTTGATCCGTTAGGTTTAATTGGACCTGTTACGACAAAAGCTAAAATATTTCTACAAAAACTTTGGCTTCTAAAATTAAATTGGAATACACCTCTTCCTAAAAATTACTCTGAAGAATGGAAGGCATTTCTGCATAGTCTCAAAATAGTCAACGATTATCGCATCCCTAGATTTGTTCTAGCCAATGGATTGCAACAAATAGAAATTATAGGATTCTGTGATGCTAGTCAGAAAGCCTATGGTGCTGCAATTTATGTGAAATGTATGTCATCTTCAAATGAATGTTCATCAAGACTTCTGTGCAGCAAGTCTCGTGTGTCACCTCTGAAGTCAATTACCATTCCTCGTTTGGAGCTTGTGGTGCAGTTCTGTTTGGTAAAACTAATGAAAAGAATATTAGAGGCCATTCAAGCTACCTATTGTCAAGGTGTATTACTTTCATTGATTCGTCAATAGCGTTAGCATGGATTAAGAAGGAACCCTTATCAACTAAAGACATTTGTTGCTTATAGAGTATTCCTGTTATTCGACAGCATGACTGCTGTTCATGAGTGATACCATGTACTAAGCGCTCACAATAATCCAGCTGATTTGATATCACGTGGAGCTGAACCTAAAGATCTTCTTCATAATGATTTATGGTGGTATGGACCAACTTTCTTGACTAAGGAGAGGTTTTTGACTAATCCTTGTGAATTAATTTCATCTGATATGGATGATATGGAATACGTCAAAGAACTCAAACTTAAGGATAATGACTTAGTTAATCTAAATGTGAACTCTAATTCCCTTGTTTTAGATCATATTCTTAACATTAGTAATAACTATATTCGTATTATTCGTGTGTTAAGTTTTGTTTGTAGATTTATAGCCAATTGTAAGGGAAAAAATTTAATAGGTTCTCTAACAGTTAAAGAATTGGATGACGCTGAGAAAATCATGATCAGGTATTCAGGTATGTACAGTTACAACATTTTTAGCAAGGATATTCTATCTTTAAAAAATAAGAATTGTGTTTCTTCCAAAAGTAATTTAAACATTTTTATGTCCATTTCTAGATAATGATTCTCTTCTGAGAGTAGGAAGGCAGACTTGCCAATAGTAATCTAATTACAACCAAAAGTTTCCTTATGTAATGCCAAAAGATCATGTAGTTACTAGATTAATTTTTCAGTATTGCCATGTTAAATATTTACATCTTGGTGCTCAAGCACTATTGCATCAGGTTCGTAGTAAATTTTGGGTTATTAATGGTCGAGATGTAGCTCGAAAGGTTGTACATGAATGTGTAACATGTTTTAAGGTTAAACCAATTGTATGTGAATAACTTATGGGAAATTTACCTGGTGAGAGAGTTAATCCAGATTTTGTATTTAATACTTGTGGACTCGACTTTTCTGGTCCATTCCTCATTAAGTATAAAAATCAGAGAAAGGGTAATTATGCAAAGGTGTACGTTGCTATATTCATATGTTTAGCTACTAAAGCAGTACATTTAGAGGTAGTAACTGAGTTAACCACAGATTCATTACTTGCTACTATTAAAAGATTTATTGCTAGACGTGGAAAATGTAATACCATAATATCAGATAACAGTACTAATGTGGTTGGTGCAAAATCAGAACTGAAAAAATTGCATAGTTTAGTCCTTAAATCTAATTCTGATATAGCAGATTTCTTAATGTCTGAAGGTATAAATTGGAAACTAATTCCACCTAGAGCGCCAAATTTTGGTGGTTTATGGGAAGCTGGTATTAAGTCATTTAAATATCATCTTCAACGTACAATCAGCAGTTATAAATTAACTTTAGAAGAATTTTGGACTGTTGTCACACAGATTGAAGGTATTCTCAATTCTCGTCCAATTTTACCCTTATCAACAGATGCAAATGACTTTGAAGCCTTAACGCCAGGTCATTTTTTAATTGGACGTTCCATTACTTCATATCCTGAACCAGATTTGTCTCATCTTACAGATAATAGACTGTCTAAATGGCAAGTTATTACCAAGTTCATTCAAGTTATTTGGAAACGTTGGCAAACTGATTATTTAAATCATCTACAACAACGCATCAAATGGTTTATTAATAAAGAAAATTTAAAGGCAGGTATGTTAGTTGTGTTAAAGGAAGATAATCTTCCGCCATTTAAATGGTCTTTAGCAAGAATTCTAGAAGTTTTACCTGGTAAAGATAATAAGGCCAGAGTTGTTAAAGTGAAAACATTAAATGGGTGTATATTCGATGTATTAGTAAAATTTGTTTATTACCTATCCAGGATAATAATGCTTAGTTTACATTATGTTCTTATTGAAAATTGTGCTTTACATTAAAATGGAACTGTTTAAAGAATTAGTTCGATTGTAGAATAGTGAATGTTTATGTTTTTAAAATGTTGCATTATTTTATATTATATTCATGATGAAATTATCTATCATCTTTCATATTGTAGTGTAGAATTAGTTTTTCTTGATTGTTAAATTGTATGTATGTTAGTAATTTGTATGTTGAAATTTGTAATTTCAACGGGCGGCGGGATGTTAAGTTAGAATACAGCGCCGCCTGTTGGATAAGCAGAGAAACTCTCACTTGGCCATCTGGATTCGGCTAAGCAACGTGCCAGAGCATGTATTAGATCTGAAAGGTTAATTACTGTAAATAAATTAGTTAGTTCTTTTGCTATACAGTCCACTTATTAGTTTAGAATCATAGTACAGAAGCATTTAAATATACATGTATAAAAGCATTTAAATATACATTTATAAAAGCATTTAAATATGACTGCCGGATTTTTGCATGGTGACCTATATTGCAGTAGGTACTTAATCTTTTCAGTTGCATATTAATTGCTGTAGGTTTTTATTATTTTAAATGGTTTTGAAAACTTTATGGGTTCATTTAATTGTATTTTTTTAGTAATGTGTACTTAATTTTTTTTCAGAGCAATTTGATTATTTTATTAATGAGATAAAAAATATCTTTTAAGTAATTATCATATAGAAAAATCACTGATATTTATATTGAATTTCAGATGCCTGGTGCTATTTTTAGAAAAAGATATGAAATTAAAATTTTGTGTTATAAGACTTCTGTCTTGTTTGTCAGATAGTTTTGTTTTTCTGTCAACAAAGATGCACATGAAAATTTTTTTAACATCCTTAAACACTAATACTATATTTAATTGAATTTGTTTCCAGTTTTATTTTACATATCATTATCACTTTCTTTTCTCTTCTAGGTACTGTCTGAATGTGGCGATTATGAAAAAGCAGAGATGTGTTTCAAGAAAGCTGGTGAATTAGATCCTAATGATCCAAATGTTTTTGTTCATAGGGGGTATGTTTATGTAATTTCTTTTCCTAAATATTTTGTTAAATTTGCATCTAAACTCTTTATTCATAAAGCAACAAATTCCAGGAGAAAATGCAGCATGATTGCAAAAATTTTCCTGAACTATGAATCTGAAGAAAGGTTCTATATATTATGATCAAAGATTTGATGACTAATGGAAGGTGACAGAGCAGGAATACAGTTTATGAAGTAATTTGATTAAAAGCTACAAATAAATGCCTTCTAGTGGTCAAGTGGCTAAAGCTTTTAATTTTTTGCATGTTTTATCTGAGGCAGATAAGTTGCTATATGGGATTTTTATGGTTTTCCGTGTGTATATCTTGAATGGTAGTCATTTATTGCTAGGTAGCCCTCCAGAATGGTCATTTTTTTTTTTTTTGGTAGATGGCCCTTACATATGTTCATACTTGCCAACCTATGACACTCAAAAATCAGGAGATTTTTTTAAGAAATCAGGAGATTTTTCACAATGTTAAAAAGACTTTTTAAATTATAAAAATATAGTTTTTAATAATGAATTAACTTTTAAATAGTAACTAATCCTTAAATGCAAGCAACACAAAAATACCTTACACATAAAAAACATTTTTATTACTTGCATTGTTTAAGGGGAAAAAAACGACACTTTAATCAGTTTTTCGTACAAATGTTACAAACAGTGGCAGATTTTGCTTTCTTTAAGAAAGAAACTTCATAATTTTGTTCACAGCAATTGCCACGTAGGCCTGCTTTCACTAATAAAAGTTTTTCTAATGTGTCATCACTAATATTAGATCTAAATTTAGTCCTTGTTTTCGCAACAACACTGAAAATCCTCTCACACTCTGCATTACTATGGGGAACTGTCAAGATGGCCAACACAATTCTAGACAGTTCACTATATTTTAAAATTCCATAAGCACCTTTCAGTTTTCCATTTAAATTCCCCTGGGTGTCAATCCTAGCTGATTTTATAACTTCATCCAAGTTTTCTAATTGTAAACTGCTGTTATGCAGCTGTTGGAACTGTTTTGATTTTCCCTTCCTTTTAGAACTCCTTTCAAGATAATAATAAATATCAACAATGTGTTCATCCACATTTATTGGTAAAGAAGCTGCCCTCTTTTTCAGCTGCTAAATTTAAGAGGTGACATGTGCACCTCATAATCTGAAAATCTGAATTTTCCTTTCTTAAGATGCCTGCAACACCAGTCTTCCAAGCCTACCAATACTGGTGCATTATCGGCACCAAGGGCTAAGCAATTATCCAGAGGACCTGCATTTTCTTTTAAAGTTTTAATAATTAGCTGTGCTATATTAAAGCCTGTCAAATGTCCTTCTAAAGTGGGAACAAAAAGTAAACTGCACTCAATTTCTGAAGACTGGATTAAAAAAAGAAACAACAATTGGATACAGTTTTGAATCGGTATTATTGCTTCCATCTATAGAGAGGCAGAACGGAGTTGTTTTAATGCAATCAATAACTGAAGATTTATTTTTCAAACCTATTTCTTTAACAATTGCACCTGTTTTGATTCTTGCACTTGAGTATTTCTTAGCGATTTTACTATCGGGAAACATTTTCTAAATAAAGTACAGCGTGATCCGATGCATTCAGTGGCAGGTTGTGCTCCAGTAAAAAGGCAGAGAACAGACATTCTGCATTAATAACTTTTTGGTCCTTTGTTTCAGAAGGAAATTTTAATTTTTCGTTTTTTTTTTTTTTTTTTTCAAAACAACTCATTTTGTCCTTATGTTTTTGTGTACGCACATGTTTGAGAACATCCGCCCTTCCACCATGCAAAATCATAAAATCGCAACGACAGGCGGTACGCATCGCAAATTTATTACATTTCCTTGAGGAAATAATGGAAGGAAAGTCAACTGTGTACGATTTTTGAAACGTACACAAGTATTTCACCTTTCTCGCAGACATAACAAAAGATGATAATTTCTAAAACTATTTCCCTAAGGCACATGTTCTCACATAACTCAGGGCAAAATAAACGAAATAACTAAAGAACATCCAAATAACAACTTGCTTTGTCCTCTTTGGTTAATATATGCCAGCTGACACACGGTGGAGCTCGATGCCCATTGGAGAACTGGAGAACAACATTTCTGCATACGTATAATGCTCTCACTCACAAAGCAGAAGTTATCTGATTCGCAAGGTTTTGTTTTAGATATAATGTAGAGAAAATTCAATTGCTTTCAGACGTCACTTTTTTTTTATTCATATAACAAAGTATTAAGCCAAGTTGCATGAAAATCGTGAGAAATTTTAAGAATAAGAAAAAGTCGGGAGAAATATATTGTAAATTGGGTTGGCGGGAGAGTGGTCGAAAATCGGGAGAGTTGGCAACTCTGTATGTTGCTTTAATTAAATTAACTAACTAACCAGTCAGAAATAATATCCACTTTCATGTTTGTCAGTAATATTTAATGTGAATTCTATTTGATGTTTTGAGGGGTTCAGTTATGTTTTAATGGAATTTTAAGTTTTTTTATTTTATACAATTAATTTTTTTATTTAGACATTTTGATAATCATTTTTTAAATTAAAGTTTTAAAAATCACGTGTACATTTTTAAAAATGTGTTGCCAGTTACTATGATACTGGCTTTTTTGTATAATCATTGTATAGAAAATTATTGATATTTATATTGAATGTGTATAAATAAATAGTGAGTGACAATTCGATTTCATTGTGACTGTCGTATTGCATTTCAGATTTGAATTCAGATTGTGGTGAAAATATTTGATGCACTTTTGATTCTTTAAATAAGGTTAAAAATTATACTTCTAAAATACTTAAAATTATAAAAATAGATATATGTATACAGAGTAATTCAAAATTAGAACAAACATCTAAGAGAGATAGAGTGCATCTTGATGACTTAGAATCCCCTAGGAAAGCAGAATCAGAAATACAATCCTAATGAGATAGGGGGTTGTTACATGCTGTCATAGGAAAACTTTGACAGCCACCCACAAAGGTATTAGGATGGAAAAGTATGAATACATCCTGTGATCTCAAATTGACATTAAAAGACTATAAACTTAAGTCGTGACTTTCCTGTTAATGAAGTTGCCTGAAGTTTCATGACATATATCACTGCATGGAATCTGGGATGTTTTGAAATACGCCAGGCATCTGTTGGACATTCTTGTTAGCCATGAAGCTTCATTTCAATTTGTTAGCCATGAAGCTTCATTTCAATTTCAATTTAAAATTATGATACATTCTGATTATCCGTAACCACCCTGAAAAGTATTTGTATTGCCAGAAATAGACAACCCATGATTTCACCAAAGTATATTTATTTGGCAACCTAGGTGTACAGAGGCTTGTGGCAGATGAGTGCCAATGTTCATCTTCAGATTTGACTGTCTTTAATATTTGTTTTCTTGTGCTAATTTTAGAGAATGCAAAAATTCATGTTCCATGAAGTTGTACTTCATAAACGATTAAATTTTCTGTATCAAAATTCCTGTGTTACTGAATATGTTTTATTCTTGGATGTCTTTTTTAAGCAAAAATAGATCACTTTGTATATAGGTAGAACATAAGCATGCACAATGCCAAGTTTGTGCAATTCTTTAATTTTTTAAACAAAAACAGGTCACTGTGTGCATGGGAGAACAACAGCAGAAAAAGAATTGCACAAGGCTAATTCAGAATAGTATGTGGGGTGTTTAAGTCTCACCATTTAGTTAAAAGGTAAACATTATTTTATTGATTCACTATCTTGTTAAATGGTGAATCAATAAAGTAATGTATTACTGTAAATGATAATTGTAAATATTTGTAATTACATAGCAAAATTTAAAAAATAAATAAAAAATTGTGAATGTCAAGGTTTTATATATATAAACTTGTATTCGCACTAAATGGATTTAAGTTCATACAACATTATATATATATATATATGTGGTGTGTGTGTGTGTGTGTGTGTGTGCATGTGTGTTCAAATATTTGTGGTAAGTGTATCAGATTTTTGAATGTGTTTATATGCAATGCAAAAAGTAAAATTTTAAATTTGGGGGTGAGGGATAAGAATTTTATGATCATTTTGGCTTAAAATTTCAGTGTGTGTATAAATGAAAATTTTTTTTGCAGCATTCTCTTTTTTTTGCAGCATTCTCTTACTTCAGTGGAAGCAGGATGTGGATGGTGCTCTAGAACTACTTAATAAAGCTATTGAAATGGACCAAAAATGCCAGTTTGGTTATGAAACATTAGGCAGTATCGAAGTTCAAAGGTAATTTTGTTTTATGTTATGTTTTTGGATTTATGTTAGTTTATCTTATTTTTATTTGCAAATTCATGTGTAAAAATAGTTCAATTTATGACTGTGTAATATAATATATATTTTTATGTATATTTTTTAACAAGTTGACCACCCTTGCTGTAGTCTTTTTGTCGCATGTTATTTTATCAATATGTTTTATTCATCTTGTATGCCTTTTTGTCTAAAATGGATGCCATTAAATTTATTTTGACTGGTTTTTGTTAACTAAATAAATTTAATTAGTTCTTGACATGATTCAGACTCAGAGTTTCCCTATAGCGGACTCTCGATTTTATCAACTCCTACAAATCACTAAAACAATTATAAAATCAAAAGTTTGTTAGTCAGAATGCAATCAAAAAATAGAATAATGCAATTTGCATTAACCTTTACTTACTAGAGACAAAAAAAACTGAACAGTTTTTATTTTCTTTATAATTATATTTTCATAAACATATGATTAACATTTTATCAATGACAATTTTTGCTATGCATTGTTGTGCATTTGAAAGTCCTCAAAAATCAGTTCTTCAGAAGCTGGAGTATTTTGCTGACAAAGTTCTTACTGCTTATCTGTTTTATTTTGTCAGCTTTAATGACCCTTGCATATCAGAAATTTTGGTCATTCAACCAGTTCTAGAAAATTTACTTTTTTCTTGTCAAACTGTTGGTGTTGAAAGGGGAAGCAGTGAAAAGGAAGGAGAACTTAAGCTTGTAAATTAGAGAGATGGTGAAATTTTATTTCACAAATCTGAACAAAAATTAACACTTAAGACAACTTATTATAGTCTAATTCAGAAGTCAAACAACAAAAATCAGCATTATATTTACAATTATTCGGCGTGTTATTGTGTCTTAATTATTATAGTCTATTTAGAATAGACACTTTGGAATCATTTCTCATGCCTGATGTGCCTCATAACCATAATAGCAACAGTCGTGGCAGGTGGTTCAATCTATTAATTTTTTTTTTCCATTTATTTCCTTGTAGTATGTGTTTCGCTTTATGAAATGTGTACAAATGAAGGTTGATTTGAAAAAGTCTCAGATGTGGTGGAGTAAATGAGTGCTGTACATTGATGACAGTATGTGTTGCAGTTGCAAATGGGGGAGGGCCAGAAAACCACGAAGATAATTGTTTTATCTTCAGCAACATTGCTGTACTTCAAATACATATTCATTGCTGAATTTCTATTCTGTATAGTGAATTCATTGCTGAATTTCTATTCTGTGAAATAGCAATTTTTGTTGTCCATAATGGTGACATGAAGTGTTGATTTTGTTATGTTCTGTAAGATGAACCAAATTGTAATTGTAATCATTTTACTATGGTGTCAGTGTTATCCATAAACAAAATTATAAAAATAAATAAAAATTAATAAACAAGTCTTGTATCTTATAGTGTTGCACTTATAACTGGCAGTATATTCTATAATGAATATATATATATATATATATATTTTAAATTTTATTTTTCAGAGGGAATCTTCGTCGAGGATTAGAATTGTTCCAGAAAGCTGTTGATACTGCCCACACAGAAACAGAATTGGCTCATTTATATTCTCTTTTACTTGCAGCAAAGGCTCAAGCAAAAGCTGCAGAAAGTTGTGGATTTAATCTCGAATAGCATTTCCAAAAGATCAGAGTTATTAAATTTTTAGATGTACAAATGTTAGAGTTTATTTTTATTTTTTTGGACTGTAAACACTGCACATCACCATTTATTGTTAATTTTAAAATGTCATACCTATTTTGAAGGAATAATCAATTGACTTGTATTGAGATCTCAATTGCATTAAATCACTTCTTAGGTTCTGGTTATAAAGTTCCTTAAAGAGACTTAAAAATGTATATTACTTTATAGTCACTTAAATTATGTTCATTGTAATTAAAATCTTTGCAGTAAAATAATTGTTGAAGTTTTATTTTTTGAAATACCATAAAACATGTTTATGAACTAACAGATTTTAAGTGCTATTGTGTATTATGTTTTGATATTGGAGACGCCTTTGTTGGAGACTTGGCCCATTATATTACAATATGGTATAATTTATTTATCATCTATTTAACTTGGAAAGGGTTGCCAATGTGTAAAATGTAAGATCTTTAACCCACGGGAAAGCATGTGGGGTGTATCATACCCCAACCCTACATAAAAGTGGAATATTCCTAACTTGTGAAACTGAAATTCTGTGCTGCTTTCAGTAGCTGAGTTTCTAGTTGTGGTTGACTTTCAGAACCACTTTTTCTTTGCCTGTGTGTTTCAGAAAAAGATTTATCAATATTTTGTTGGAACTGGGGTATGACACACCCCACGTGCCTGTCCGTGTAAGTGTTTTTCTGACTGAATATTTAGTTCAGAAATTTATTTCTAGAATGTAACAGTAAATATTTCTACTCGCAAGTGATTTTAAAGTACTTGACATTAAATTCTTAAAAACGTTTAACTGCATTATGGTAAAAAGAATGGAGTCCCTATGAACTGGAGATGCAACGCATGTGAGATTTATTAGAAATATTTGAAAGCAATGAAGATTGCATTTCAGAAACTGAAGATAAAGCTAAGAATATATTCTACAATGTTTTGGTTTCGAAAAAGATAAAACATTAATTCCTGATGTTCCTAAAAAAGGAAAAACTGTTCTTATGCTTTCAACATTATATAACGATCATACTATAGATGATAATATTGGAGAAAATAAAATGTCAGGAATTATATGTTTTAATAATATGACTAAAGGAGCAGTGGATATGGGGGAAGAAATGTCAGCCATTTATTCAATTGCCAGAATAACAAAGAGGTGGCCAATGGTAATTTTCTTTCCTGCACTGAATGTTGCTGTAATAAATGCTTGAATTATAGTATTACATTCAACTGCTAATCCACCAACCAGAAACAGAAGTCTGTTTTTGAAGGACTTAGCATTATAATTAATGAAAAAGTATTGAACAAAGATCAGAGATTAATACTTTTCCAAGAAATTAACGTACTGCACGCAAAACAAAAGCAGAAGTTTCGACGAAAAATTAAAACGAATACATGAAATTCAAAACAACTAAGTATGAAAGATGTGATAAATTTTTTGCCCTCTTGCCAAGGACAGAAGAACGTGAATGCAGTGTTTAAAATGTGAAAAAATTCTGTGCCAAGAATACATGAATGTATTTCGTTCAGAGTGTGAAGAAATAAAATAAGCATGGTGTATTAGAGATGCAATGAAACTTAAAGGTATGATGTTTGTTTTTTTATTATTTTCATTTATCTTAATTTTAACTCTAAGATTATTTCGAAAATTAATTTTTTGAAACCCAATTATTATTCACGTATTTATAATACACAAGAACAAAAAAACAACAACAACAAAAAAAAAAAAAGTTTTAAAACTAAATATAATACTATTTTTATCATATTTTAACGCCCACTCTAGTAACTTTTCTTGGTGAGACTTCGGCTGGGTTAAAATTGCTTAACAAGTAGTTAGTGTTCAGAATGTTACCATTTCCATTGTATGAGAACTTTCATTTTTCTTTAAGTATGTAATGTCTCAACGGCGTGAAAGATTTAAAAAAGTAAGCTCACTTTTTAATAATTTAAATCTTTTGGTTTTTAATAATCTGTTTAATTGGTTAGTTTAAAATTCATTTTATTTACTATATATATTCATTGATGATTATAAACCTTTCAACATTTTTTATAGTTATTGAGCATTTACATGAATTACTAAGATGCTGTCTAATATATGTTATGCATTTTTGCCCAGAATTATTTTTTTTTACTCATTTATTTTAAGAAATTATGTTTCAAATGATAAAATAAGGGTTGCTATGCTATCTGGAAAACTAGAAAAACTCAGGAGATTCAAACATTGACCAAAAAGTTAAGAGAAAAGTTGGGGAATTTCATATGTAAATCTAATGAAAAAGTGATTTTTGCACTAATGTTGAAATTGGATCACTTTCTTGGCAAATTATGTATTGCTTGAGCATCATTCTAGCAGCTGGCATAGAGCCAATTTTCACAGCACCGATCAGATTGTCTTTCAGAAAGGCAAAGCAAGTTTTCAGTATCTTTGGTTTCCAATAAATAACCTACAGAATCTGGAGAGTGTGATTTGCATGTTCTTGCGAAGAACAAGAAATCCGTACATGTTGAACAAAAGAAAATTCTGCCTCTTGGTTTAGAGAACTTGTTTTTCTATTGTCATCTCCAATTAAAATGTTTGATAAGTGAAACTTTGCAATCTTTTCCACATTATTAAATAATTTTTGAAAATGTGTGTGTTATGGACTGTAGCTATGAAATAATGAAACTAATTTTCTTTTAAATCCATCTTTTATTCTATTCGAAAATTAACTGCTCAATTAGCAGCCATTCAAAAATCCAAGCAAAAAATTTCTCATCAAACAAGCTAATAAATAATTACAAAAGCAAACAATATTGATGCATGCGCGTTACCAAGATTCGTTGCTAGGCAACTACTTTAGAGGCGAAAGGTTTCGCATAGCTGACAATCAGGTGCCAACATCCCGCCTGGCATTGAAATACTAATTTGAAAGCCGATATAAATTATTTAAGAAATTCAAAGTTTAATACATATATCAGTTAGAAACAATTAAGTGCAATAATACTATTAAACAAATAACAAACAAATTACAACATTTTACAATAAAATAGATATGCAATATTAATACAGGTAATTATCAGATAAATTCACTAAATCAATTGTTCATAGGTAGAATACATAAGTTCGGTATTCCACGTTTTATTAGTCCCTTTCAAATCAGCGTTGGCTCCGACAAAGTTGGTAGCGTTATCCGTATATATAGTTGAGTTAAGGCCGCGTTGCATGAAAAATCTTTTTAATGTTGCAATTACAGCCTGTGATGTTAGATCTGTAACAAAATCGAGATGTATCACTCGAGTAACTGAACATAAAAAAATAACAACATATATCTTATTTAAGGTACCTCTTTGTTGATTTTTATATTTTATGTAAAAGGGACTTCATAAATCAATTCTAGTTACAGAAAAAGGGGACTCGCAGAAACTCTTTCCTTCGGCAATGGTGCCATAAGTTGTTGGGCTATTTTAGGTTTATTTTTAAAACAGATAATGCAGTTATGTACTATTTTACGAGCAGTGTTTCTGCCGTTTAGTGGCCAAAATTCTTGTCGAACACAATGTAGCAAAGTCTGAGCACCAACATGTAAATTTTTTAATTGGAAGTATTGCATAATTATAGTAGTTAAGTTATGATCCCTAGGCAGCAGAATAGTATGCTTTTGGTCATAGGATAAAGATGATTTATTTAATTTGCCACCTACCCTAAGTATTCCATTTTCGTCGATGAAAGGATTTAAATTACTTAAGTGACTATCCTTTATAATTTTACCATATCTAAGGGCTTGAATTTCTTCCTTGAATACTATTCGCTGTACTAGCCTTACCATTGCTAGCTTGGCATACGTAAATTCATTTCTCTAGTAATAGGCACCATGATGACCTCTTACCTTGTCAACAGTTGGAAATAAATATAATCGTATAAATAAAACTGAGAATACGAATTAGTTTAGCAAAACTTTTACTTAAAGAAAGAAAATAGTTAATGAAATCAGCACTAGAAGTAATACTAAGAGAAATTTCTGGAGATTTTTTTTTCAATTCGCATTCATAAAGTTCATAATTATAGTTCTTAACATTCCAGACTAGCCTTTTCTATAACATTCATGTCAAGATTAGAAGGTCCACTGAACCATAATTCTGAAGATAAAAGTTCGCTAGGCTCGACTCTGCGAGAATCCAAATCAGCAGGATTCTCTTTAGAATGGATATGTTTCCACTCGAAGTTTCTGATAACGACTGAATTTTCGCAACACGATTCCCAACAAAGGTTTTGAGTTGATGTGGTGAAGCGTTTATCCATGCTAATGCTATTGTCGAATCCGAATATAATGTTACCTTTTCAATGTGTATATTTAGCGAAGTCAGAACTTTTTTAACAAGCTTAGCAATTAGAAGACAAGCTGAGAGTTCTAAGTGTGGTAAAGATAGAGTCCTTAAAGGGGCTACTCGAGATCTGCTTGCCAGTATCTTTAAACAAGGGTTATCTTGAGTGGCATATAGGTAAGACCACTCCTCCATATGCAGATGTTGCAGGATCGGAGAAACCTATGATAGCCCTTTTATCGGTTGTAGAATACAGAGCATATCTTCTCATCTTAAGATTTTCCCATTCCTTTAACTTTAAAATGAAACGATTCCATTCACTGGCAAATGGTTCAGGTAATTCATCGTCCCAGTTCAGTTTTAAAGACCATAGTTTCTGAAGGAATATTTTTGCTTTATAGATGACTAGCCTGATAAAGCCAATAGGATCAAACAACCGCACAATGACTGAAAGGACATCTCTTTTCGTAAAAGATGACTTGCCTTGGAAAGCGACTTTAAAAGTAAAGATGTCGGATTCCGGTTGCCAGATTATGCCAACTGTTTTCGTAAATTCAGTTGAATCAAAGTGAAACTCTTCCTTAGATACTAAAGTGTCTAATACACTCTTAGAATTAGATTGCCAATTGTGTAAAGACATTCCAAACAACTTTCGAATATCTTTATTAGTTGATTCTTTAATTCAATAGCAGACTCAAAATCAGAGCCTCCTGTAACTGTGTCGTCCATATAGATGTCAGAAAGAATCACTTCAGAAGCTAAAGGGTATTTCTGCTGTTCATTCAAAGCTAACTGTTTTAGAGTTCTTATAGCTAGAAATGGGGCACATTTAGTCCCACACGTTTCAGTATTCAATCTACAAATAATAGATGAGTCGTCTTCATGCTCTTTCCTTAAGATACGTAGAAAATTCCTTTGCGATGAATCAATTAAAATCTGTCTAAACATTTGTTTAATGTCTGCG